CTGGATCAAGTTGAACAGGTGATAGAAACACAGATCAACTCTGGTATATAGTTTCTGTTAGCAAAATTTTTTTACAAATGTGTTCTGAGTGAAGGTTATATTTAGAAAAGTACAATTTAGAGAAAAATAGAAACTCATTATGAAATTTGCATAGCAACAACCAGTATAAAAGTATCGCTTCAGAAATGACGAAACACATGGTGTTTTCTATGAAGCAAGGAGGAATCCCCGCTGCAGGGGTCGTCATTTCACACCTTCACACCATCCCCAGCTTGGTGTTTGGCTTCCTGGAAACCTATTTATTTGCTCAAAATTGAAAGCTTAGAGAACCTCAGAGCGGTACCTTTTACACTCCTAACACTAACTTAGTGGAAACCTCAGGTGCTTGGCCTGTCGTAGAGTACTGTGCTGTAGGTGTGCAGCGCTGGTTTGGTTTCGTTTTCTTGTTTTGTGCTCCTGTCTCTCTCCAGCACTTGGTTCTTCAGAATTGCTGGTCTGGCCATAAGGGGCCTTGTCCCATCAGGCACCCTGGCTGGACACCTTGGGGTCAGTGTCCCGGCTGCAGTGTAGTGTTGGCGCACGGATCTCTTCTTCCCGCTCTGTGGCCTTGGGTGCCCTTGGGTGCCCTTGCGCTCTCTCACTCTGTGTGCACCTCATCTTTCCACCCATAACGTAGGGATGCTAAGAGGATGTGCCTCATTGAGTCTGATGAGGGTGAAATGGCCATGAGGTCTCGTGGGACGGTGCCTGCACCTCAGCCCTTTGGGTGCTGGCGCTATGGTGTGCTGCTGCTCTTGCTTCATCCTTCCAAACCCTCACCCTCTCACATGCTCACTTCCCCGCCTGCCACGCCTGTCCTTCCCAGCGTCTCCCTCCCTGCAAGCATGAGTCTGATTGTGGGTCTCCCGGGGGTCACCCTGCTGTCCTGTGGGAGGTCTCTCACCTCTCGAGGCTGTCTTCCAGCAGCCTCCAAGCTCCTCTCAGAGGCCCGGGAGCCCCCGCACTGTGCACAGCTGTGGCATTCAGCACAGGAGCCTTGCACTGAAAGTTACAGTCGGAGTAAGCAGTCGGTTTCTCATCACACATGCAGCATGTCCCATGCTTGTGTGCTGTGACCACCCCACTGAACATTTCCATCCTCACAGAAATTTCTGTTGGACAGCACTTCCTGGTGCAGTGTCCCAGCTCTTTAGCAGGGACACAAAACCTGCTCTGTGTCACTCCCTCCTTCCTCTTCTTCCCCACATGCCCTGACCAGGCCAGTGAAGGTGGCTCAAGGAAGCAAAAACTCTTGTCTAGAGTGCCGCATCTTCATCAGGCCCAGCTCAGCAGTCCCATCCCAGAGCCTCTGTCCTCTGTCCCTCCCTCCCTGTGTGGTCCACACATCTGTCTATCTTCATTCTTCCTGTGGTTTTTGTTCACGCTTCGGTCCCGCCTGCTTGATTTACATTCTCCTGGGGAACAGAGACTGTGTTTGCCACAGCTTTGTGCTCAGCACCCACGCAGCATGTGACACCCAGTGGTGCCCAACTAGCGTTCCTGGATGGTGCTGGTGAGCATCCAGGGCTCCAAGGCAGATGGGCAGCTGATCAGCGCAAGTTTGTCATTGCTCCCGCAGGTGGCCGGGGCTGGCCTGCCTGTTGATAACCGTGGTGTACAGGCCTATAAAATGTCAGCTGGAACAACCTTCCTTTTCCAGATGCTTTGAAAACAGAGGCCCCTGTGGGAGAAGTGGCTGGCTGATTCCGGAGGGGTGAGCCATGGTCCAGGGTCTCCTGGAGCTGCCTCTCAGAGGCCAGGACAGCTCTGAGTGCAGCCCCTTGCTGCACACACAGTCTCAGCATGGCTCTCACACATCCTTGTTCACTTGCCACACAGGTGAGGCATTCCACAGGCAGTCACTGTTTACCTGGATCTTCCCTTGAAAAGCACAGAGTGCCCTGATACAGCTCAGAGACCAGTCTCTGAGTAAGTAGCCAAGGCGAGGAGTGGAGATCAGGGGTCATTGCAACAGGGCGAGAGGAATCACGTTTGCAGGGCACTGCAGTGCTCAACAAGAGCCCTGGATGAGATCTCTGCCCAGGCCATCCAGCTGACACCTCTGCAGTGCGTGTGTGGCTGGGAAGCAAGACTCTGAGAACAACGTCACCTGTGTGGCGAGACCCAGAGATGGGACCCCCCAAACCCAACACCTGGGAGCTTTGTAGTTGGGGTGTGTGGAGAAGGCTGGGACCAGGGCTGTGCAGCAGAGGGAGAATCAGAGCCTCCCAGAGAAGTGACACTATAGCTGAGACCTCAGGTAGGAGTCGGCAGGTGAATAAATGGGAGAAAGGCCCAGATGGAGGGAGCAGGTGCTGGTACCTGGTGGAGGTAGTGTGTCACAGGACTTTCTAGCATCCTGGCCACACACTCACTGCATGCTGCCAGCGTTGAGAGGAGCTGACAGGCTGTCACCGTCCCACCCCTGGCGATGGTTGCTGCTGGCTTCTGTGTTAGTGATCCCACGCCACCCTTCAGTCCTGGGCTACCCCGGCAACGGCTAATCCCAGGAAGGGCGTGAACACAGCTCACCATGGTGGTTGTCCTGTAACTGGCACACTGGTCCCTGATCCTCAGCCCCATTGCCTGCCCTGGCCCCAGCCCCAGCCCCAGGAGCTCCCACAGATACCGATTGGTCCAGGTGAGTCCAAAGCATGCAGACCATTCCAACATACGGCTGGGATTGCTCACTGTTGGTTTGGATCTAGCTGTTGCCTGGTTTACTTCTCACTGGAAGGGTTCTAAAGAGTTTCACATGGCACGAAGAGTAGTGGAATTCACAAGATGGTTATTTAAGTCATTTATCTAGTGTGAATTCACATGCTCACACAGAATCCCACTGCACCAAGGCCAGCTCTGTAGAACTGGGCCCAGAATTCCAGAGCAATCCGATATTTCAACTGCTTTTTTTTTTAATCCCCATATCTGATTTGTCTAAGTGTTGCCTTTGTTTGCAAACTTTTTAGTGCCAATCATAGTAAAACCCAAACCCAGGCCACTCACTTAAGAATCCCTGTGATTGTGTGCTTTAGCACAGACATCCAGGGAAGCTGCCCACTTCAGCACAGTGCAGGCACCACCCAAAGACCCACTACAAGGAGCAAGGGTGTAGCAGTAGGGACACAACCCTTTCAGCACCAGAAACAAGATCGGATGTGTCCATTCTCTGGAAACCAGAGGGATTTCTGCTAGTGCTGCAGGCAGGAAGAGCAGAAGCTGAGCAACCTCAGCCACGAGGGAGCTGACCCAGGGGCCCAGTGGAGGAGACCAGAGCAAGGGTCAGACCCTGTCACCACACCCCTGTCCAGCACTGACACAGCCAGCCTCTGCAGACAGCTGGGTCACCTGCTGCATAATCCTATCCGATTTACTATGATTTTGTGCTTGAAAGTGTTTTACAATATACTCTGAAAACCATGTCATGGTCTGTCATCAGAAACTATTGTTAATGATCTCAAGGGTCTAATTGGAAGCCACCTGGCTGTCTAATAAGTTTGCTACCCAAAGGTTAGTGGTTCCTGTGGGTAGTGTCCTGTGTGTGGTGGCCATGGGTTTTATATCCCAGGAGGCACTAGCATGAAATTGTGGGTGCCAAGGTGGGGCCAGAGGAGGTGTGGGTCCAGCAGGGAGCAGAACTGGAACATTGCCAGCCTGTAGGGGCCTCTGCCCAAGTCAGGATCTGCAAATGAAGCCCCATTCTCTTGGGGACTTGGGTCTGTGTCTACAGGGAGGTCTCCACCCCAGTGTGAAGCCTGTGGTCTAGGAAATCCCTCAGGATTTACTATGTGGAGGGTGCCAGGAGGCAGGCTTGGAAATCCATATAGCCCCCTGTTGACACCTGCTCACTTGACTTACTGGTTCCTTTTCTGCAGCCAGCCCGGCAGTTGAGTCTTATGAAGTTGGTATGTGCACGTACACTGCAAGAACCTTCCTGTGGGGGTTGGGCATGGGTAGGCCCGGAGACTGCAGGGTCACCCTCCCTCCTGCGTGGGGACTGCCTGCTCACTTGACTTACTGGTTCCTTTTCTGCAGCCAGCCCGGCAGTTGAGTCTTGTGAAGTTGGTGTGTGCACGTACACTGCAAGAACCTTCCTGCTGGGGGTTGGGCATGGGTAGGCCCGGAGACTGCAGGGTCACCCTCCCTCCTGCGTGGGGACTGGGTTTTGGGAAAGACACTAAGGAAAATGTATTTCAGCTTCTCGTTTTCTGAGAAGGGACCTTTTAATCCCCTCCGTGCAGCTTCTGGGACTGACCCCTTATTTCCTCCATGAAATAGCTTTGTCCCCGTGATACCTGGATCAACACCTGATGGATTCTGAAATTCTTTCTCTAGAATGATTACCTTTTTATTTTCGTAATCTTATTTAGGGAATGTTTCTGCCTTTTGAGTTACTCACTTTAATTTAGTAGCCAGCCAAGCAGATAATAAGATTTAAGGTAACTTACCTTTCCAAAATGCTGTGGGGTCGGATAATAAGAGATGGTGGTTTAGGGAACCGTAGTTGAATAACTTTTGAAAAAGTAGTGAAGTAAATTTTGCTAGGGTTGGGTCTTTCTTTCTGCGTGTTTGCTCTTTCTATTTGCACAAAAAATAGTTTTTCGGTGTTTCTGTTTTTGTTTTTTTGTCTTGTTTTGTTTTACTGAGAAATGGCCCCTGGGAAGGGACAAGAGAAACAGGAAGAAGCCAGTGCTCTCTGGGGGTTTTGGGCGGGACCCCACCTCCCTGCACACACAGCCACCCCAGGCCACCCGGCCACTGGTGTCAAGGCCCCTGAGGAGAGACAGGGCAGAACCCCGCTTACCAGCAGCATGACTCATGTTCCTGGGGCATTCCTGGAGCCCTTGCAGCAGGGCACACCCCCCAGCTAGGGGCAGGGACAGAAGGCTGCCTCAGGCAGGTGCCCCTTCCCGGAGTCGCCCACTCGGCAGCCAACAGCAGGTGTGGTCAGTTCGCTTGTTGCTTCCCCTGGACGGAGGCCCTTGACCGTGGGTTATTTTTACCCTGAGCAGTATTTAGTGCCACCTCCCCCCGCCCCAGGTTACCATGGGACAGATACTCACAGAGCAGTGGAAAGGGTTTGCTAGACCCTCTCTTGCCCACAGAACCATGGAAAATTGGTAAACTATCAAATTGGCAATTTGCCCCCCCCCCCAAAAAAATACGATGATCAAAAAGCCTACAGAGGGCAAAATGTTTAACTTCATGTGAACTCATAGGTAGGTACTTCATATAGGTATAGGTAACTTCATGTGAACCTATATAAATAGGTTACATTTTAAAACAAGATTCAGATGCCAGGTATAACAAGATCATCTCTTGTCAAAACAGACACTTTCATGTAAAAGCACAGGGCGGGTGAGGGGCGGTGAAGCAGGTGTCCTGCACAGCTGGCAGGGCTGGAAGTTAGCAGAACCTTTTTATAAAGCGATTTTGACATTGCATCAGGATTTTTAAGTGTTAATGCTGTCTTTGTGCATAAAATCAGTGCTTTATCCTCAATATGACGTGAACTGTCAGGACAGTTTGTTGCCTCTCAACTTAGCTTCTGTGACAGTGGCAGTAAGAGAAGAGCATAGGGACAGTCTTCTGAGATACCTGGAGCTTCCAGAACTGGGGCCACATCCTTGGCAGGGCTGGCAGCCCGCTCCCTGTCAACAGTGCTGTTCAGATCAAAACAGACCTTTCTGGGCCTGGGGCCCCTAGAGGAGCGATGTGTTGGCCCCTCTGGGGAAGGGCACACTTGCTCTCTGCAGCCCGTTACCCAGGACTCCCAGCGTTTCCCGCATTGCCCTGGTTTTCAGCAGACTGTTGCCTCTGGTGACAGTCTGCATGCTCCCGAAGCCTGAGCTCGGAGGTACCCAGCCTGTAGCTGGGATGGGGCCCTGGTGGCGAGGAGGACGGCTCTGGGTGTCACACGGGAGACACCCAGGCCGGTGGGGCCCACACACCCTGGTTGTCTCCTCAGTTACTCAACAGTCCTTCTCTCCCTCCTCTCCTCTTCCTCTTCCCCTCTGCTGTTTTTCCTCCATATTATCTTCAGACTGGTATCTTTCAGGCCTGGGAGCACTGCCCCTCCACGCACAGCCCCTGGTCGGTGCGGACCGGGTGTCCCCATCCATCCACAAGCTGCGGCAGCACCGCCCGCTGGGGCGCACCCAGTCGGCGCCGCTGCCCCAGAACGCGCAGGCCCTGCAGCACCTGGTGATCCAGCAGCAGCACCAGCAGTTTCTGGAGAAGCACAAACAGCAGTTCCAGCAGCAGCAGCTGCACATGAACAAGGTGGGTCTGCTGCCACTCGTGGGCCTGTGGCTCCACAGGTGGTGTGTTCGTTGTAGCTCGACTGCAGCATCAGCCCCTTTCTGACCTGGAGAGAGGCCCTCAGCATAAGGAGAGGCACAGTGAAGCGGATGCTCTGGCGCCGGGAGGGTGGGCACTGTGGGCATGTGCTCAGGAGCAGCCCAGCTCCACAGTGGGAAGACTGGCGCAGGGCGCATCCCCGTCCCCGTCAGCCGGCGTGAGTACAGGCAGACCACGCCATGCACACGAAGCATTCATGTCGGGGCATGGTATATCCTCCTTGAGCAACACTTTTTTCTTGGGTTTCCTAGGACCACTTACCAAGTATGTCTTTAAGCAAACCCACAGCCCAAAGTCCCCAACTTTACAATGGTCTGCTGTCCCGAAAGCACATTTTCCAAGTCATGGGCACTTGCAACATGCTTACGTGTTGGGGAAAGGTGGGAGGTGGTTTGGGCCCAGGCCAGCCCACAGAGGTGTCAGTACCTACAAAAGTCTGGAAGGTCACTGAGGTAAGACCCTTTTCAGGAGGAAGTGGTAGGAAAGGTTAGTTTCGTGATGCTGCTAAAGAGGAAAACAAAAGTACCAAGTAAGTTTTTATCAAATGCTGGCATTTGAAATAAACCATCTTTAATATTAAAGATGAGATGAGCTGCTTTTGAAAACGGCCCAGCAGTTCCTCAGAGGGTTAAACAGTTATCACATGACCCAGCAACTCTGCTCTGAGAAATGAAAATACACATCCACACAAAAACTTGTCCGAAAATACCACAGCAGCATTGCTCACAATAGCCAAACGGGCAGGAGCCCAAGTGGCCGTCTAGTGGTGAGACGGAGTGTGGCCTGTGCCCACGATGGAGTGCTACCTAGCGTAGCCAGGAGGCGAGCACTGGCACAGGCTGCAGCACAGACGCGCCTGGAAGACACGATGCCAAGTGAGAGAAGCCAGTCACACGAGACCACGCATCGTGTGGCTTCATTCACACGAAGTGTCCAGAATAGCAAACCCCAGAGACAGGAAGACCAGTGGTTGCCAAGGGCTGGGGGTGTTAGGGGAATGGAGAGCGACCCTAGTGTGCACAGCTTTTCTTTTTGGGAAGATGATAATGTTCTAAAGTTAGACCGTGGCGATGGTTGCTCAACTCTGTACACATACAAAAAACTACTGAATTATACAATTTAAAAATGTGAATTTTAGGGCTGGCCAGTTAGCTCAGTGGGTTACAATGTGGGGTAAAAATGTGAATTTTATGGTTTTTGAATTATATCTGAAGAAACCAGTTGCAAGAAAAAAACAAGAGGGTGAGAAGATTGGAAGGAACTTTTGTGGCGATTTTCTGAAGGAGACTTTGAGAAATCTTTGGTAGATTTGGAGGTGGACAGAATTCTTTCTCTCGATTATGTCTTTCTGGTGAAATCTCCCCCATTTCTTCTCCTGATTTCAGATGTACGCTAGCCATGGGTCCTCTGCCTGTCAGCAGGGCCAGGGGCTTCTGTTGTTTTCCTAATGAATGAAGCGGGGCGAGGGGGATTAGGGATAAGATCTTCCTGGCATATGTGACATGACTTGAAAGATCAAATATGCAGATTCCCACGCAGGTGCGAGGGTGGAGCCTTGAGGGAAGCCCCTCCCCTCCATATCTGCCACCTTCTCAAAAGGGTGGCACTGACCCCAGCCAGCCTGATCACCTGGCACTGCCAGCCGCTCAGTCCTGCCCAGTCTCAGTTCTGTTCTCTCAGGCCCTCCTGTTCAGTCAAGAAGAGGGGCAGTCTGCTCAACCCCTCCCAGGAGTCAAAGGCTTTGATTTCAGGGACGTCTGGGACAGTGAGGCTGCCTTGGAGAATATCCCTCAGAGATGGCTGCCATAGCCTAAATCTATCCTGGGTTGCTCTGCATTGCAGAGTTGAGGCCATATGATTAAGGAAGTGGCTTCTGGTGCCTTGTCCTGGATGGCAGCCTCCCCAGACCAGCGGCCAGCACAGACCACGCTTAGGCCCTTCCTGCCACCAGGCCCTGTGAAATAGGCTCACCCAACCCCCACAGCGCCCCTTGGCGCCGCAGGCCCTCGCCGCCAGACAGCACTGAGCAGGGTGGACGTGGGGGGTGCTCCACATGCATCCCACACCTGGCAGGAAAGGCGCCCCTTGCTGGGGGCGAGTTGGGAGCCTGCAGGTGCCCTTCCTCCCAGCGTCAGGAGCACGTGAACACTCGACTTTCTAGTGGCAGATCGGGTTTATTCATTTTGTCTTGTCACCATCCAAGTGATGGGGTGGGAGGTTTGCAGAAGGCAGGGAACACCTATTCACATGTGACATATTCTTGTAAAGAATGATTTAGAAACCGTGTAGTCTCCCTGGATTTTGTTACGTGATTGATTTACGGTAGGACCTGACAGTTGATTGAAGCGTTTGCACAGCGTCTTCCTGGAGGCTGGGGAGACAGTGATCGTGCCTGGTGCCGTCTAGCACGATTTCCTGCCCCACAGCTCCACGGGGGCTGCTCCCAAGCGCGGGTCCCTGAGAGCGTCTGCCCCGCAGTGCACTGCTCCCTTGCTCGGCTCTTCCTTCAAGTGCAGCTGACTCAGAGGTGTCATTCTGAGAGGAAGGTTGCTGTCCCTGGCTGCTGTGTTCCTGGCAGCCTTCCATGGTCTTCCCAAGGCCCACAGAGGGAACTGCCCATTCAGCTGAGAGCTCTGCAAGCTGGGTGGGAGTGGTCCCCCGGGCCTCCCTCTCCCATGAGCAGTGTCGCTGCCGCCCCCCTGTGGCCTAGCTTCTGCTGTTGGCACCCAGTGCGTTTCAGTCAAGGTCTGCTGAGCAAAGGAACCCTCTGGAGAAAGCCCCACCCAGGGTGAGTGGCGCTGTGTGCTGTGGGAGTGACACCGCCTCTGCGCTTGCCAGCATGGCTGGACGAGCCCTCAGTGTGGTCTGGTTTGCAGAAAGTGGAAAATGGCTGTGTGGGCAAGATGCCCTTTCTTTCCGATAGGAGAGAATACCTGGAGTCAAGGCTCTGCTGCTAAAGGGGCTCGTGCAGCACGTCCGGGACAACGCATGGAGCAGCCTGGCCGCCATGGGACTGCGGGTCTGGACTGCGCGCCTCGGCGCCAGCGTGCTTCCCTCCAACTCCACACTCTCAGTGTTGAACATCAGATGTGGAGTCAGTGTTTTGGGTGGTCTAATTATGAGTATGTCTAATAGTTTTTAAATACTGGCATGTCTACCAGTTTGGTTTTGGCCCTCAACTCCAGTCTGACTTTTTAAGAATTTATTGTTCCTGGGCCGGCCCGGTGGCACACTGCTACAGTACGCCGCTTGGGAGCGTGGTGGCGCTCCCGCCGAGGGTTCAGATCCCACATGCAGACCGGTTTCCACTCACTGGCTGAGCGAGGTGCGGACACGGCACCGAGGGTTGCGATCCCGTTGCCGGTCCTGGTCCGGTACGAGCGCGACACTGAGGGTTGCGATCCGTTGCCAGACACGAAAAAAGACCAAAAAAAAATAATTTATTGTTCCAAATATAGAGGTGCATTGTTCTTACTTAATTGATAGAAGGGGCTCCTAATGTCCAAAAGGCCTGCAGATGACAGCAGGCCGATTTGCTTGTCCAATTTGCCGTGGCTTCGCTGCCAACATCTGCCCCGTTGCATGACCGACTGCAACTGCACCTCCTGAAGCCAGTCCTGTGGTGTGGCCCCCAACCGCAGCCACAGTGGAGAGCAGGGCTGGATCCCAGGGGGAGAGACAGGCCTGTCTGCGGCGGTGGCCCAGGGCAGCCACCTGCACAAGCGCTGCGTCAGTGCTGAGCCCAGAAGCTGGCGCTACGTAGCCGGCTGCTCTGCCTCACAGCCACATCCCTCCCAGGCACTTTCAGGATGAAGCCTGGTGGGTTAGGGGCCACCCCTCGGGAGCCTCTCTGCACCTCAGGACAGGACACATGTCCCAGTTTCTGCCTGGGGCCAGAAGAGCCAGAATGCTTGGGGCCCCCAGGAATCTTGTGCCAGGGCCAGGTTCTGTCTCGTGGAAGCACTGAGAGTCACAAGTCCTCAGGAGGGGTCTGGGGGCCTCTGATCGAGTGAGAAGACCTGGGAAGGGCCTTCCCAAGGGACTGACCACACCCCACTCTGCCCTGCTCTGCGTCGGTGGACTCTCTCAACTCCCCCTCTTCCTCTGATGGTCCAGCGCATCCCAGCTGCCCTGCAGGGCTGCGGCAGTGAGAGAGTGGATCTGAGGCCCTCCTGGGAAGAGGAGAGCGGGATGTGCCCTGTCCTTGTGGCAGGAGCCCATAACATGAGAGAGAGTGGGCAGGAAACTGGAAATGGAGAAGTTAGAGGCTCTTTAACACTCGATGCTTCAGCCCTCCCAGCATCATTCATGGAAGGAAATAGAAGACACTTTGCAGATGGCATGTTGACGTCAGCAGCAGCCAGCACCTTCCCCGCAGAGAAGCCCCCTCATCACCCCAGCTGCGGATCAAGCTCAGCACTGCAGCTCACTGCCATGGGTGGCCTCTGGTCCCACACTCCTGACAAGGGCCTCTGTCTTATTGTTCCTGCCTACAGGCGCCTCACATGAGTTCACTCCTGGGGAGATCATCCCATCCTAGTCAGGGACATTTACAGTGTCAGACACTTGAGAAGTTTCATCCTCATGAAAGACAGAACAAGGCCCAGGGAAGTGTTATCAATCAAAGGACACTAAAGAGACAGGACACCTACTGGAACACATGATCCACGATCAGAGCCGGAACCGGACTATCCAGGACCTGACTGGAACAACTGGGAAGTCTGCACACACCCACACGGTAGATGTCGCTGCTGAGAGTGTTTGCCGTGGGTCACGGTGGCTTCAGTGACCATCCGTTAGGTCAGAGGAAAGAAAGGTCAGCCTCTGCATCCACTGGCGTGTGTGTGTCTAGGTGAAGGGCATTTGGGACTTTTTATACTACCTATTCTTGAAATTTTCCTTTAGGTTTGAAATTTTAAAGAAAATGTCAGAGGAAAAGAAGGAACGAAGCTTCTCGTCCGTCAAGGCTGCTCTCCCGTGGCTGTTTCCCCCTGTGATAACCTCAGTTTTGTCATGACCTCTCCTCCTTGGAGCAAAGATCCCAGAGGACGCTGGTGCTGGCCATGTGCCTCTGCAGGGGCCCCACCCTTCTGTCGCTTGTGTGTTCTCTTCCGGGCCCCCACCCCAGAGGAGGGACCTGTGTTCCAGCCCTGGCAGGGCTGCTGTCCTTCGTGCTTTTATCCACTTGGGAGATGAACCTTCTAGAGGGATCTTCACAGCTGCAGGCGCAGTGTCCTGATTAGCTCTGGGAGGGGGCAGCCCTGGGGGTCCCACTCAGCAGCTCTGGCATCGCTCCCCCTTCATCCTTCTGCTCCTCCCCCTTCCCCTCCCCCAGTCCCTGTCCCCGTGTCCTTAGCCCTGTTGTCACTTCTTTTGTGCCCGTGCCCTCCTGCACGTTACTCGTCTCTATTCCCCAAAGGCTCAGGGTCATTCCCTTACCCATCCTGACTGCATAGTTCTCTCCTCCCGGACCCTTCCCACACCCCTTCTAGGACGTCCCCCCAGCCATTCTGTGTCACCTTCTGCAGGGGCATTCACCACGTTGTCCTTTCAGAGTTCTTTGCTCTTTCCTGTCCCCCCCCCCCAAAGTACTGGGTTATAAGGCTCCAGTAAACCTCCCAAAACCAGTGGATAAGCAGCCACTTCCTGCTCCCCATCAGACAGTGCTGTGCCCTGGGGGAACAACAGGAAACGAGGGCACTGACGACCTCATAGTGAGGGGCTCCTAAAAGCCTGGGCTTGGAAAGCCATGGGCACGGGGGGCTCGGCGCCCTCTGCTGAAGGGATGGCACATCCACCAGGTCCTTGTCCTCCCTGCCACCACCCCAGGCAGGGCTCACGGCCTCGCAGGCTCCAGGTACATGGGAGAAGGGGACTGACAAGTAGAGGCAATCACAAATCTCAAAATCGTCAAGTGAAACAAACACTTAAAAACCTGGTTTTATTTAAACCAGTGTGAGAAATCTGTCAAAGCAGCTGCGTAGAAGGTTGGCAGATGATTTGAAACGGATTTTTTTCCAGCTTTATTGACATATAACTGAAAATATAAAGTGCCTATGTTTACAGTGTACAGTGATGGTTTGATATTCGTGTGCATTGTGAAGTGACCACATCAAGCTAATTTACTCATCCATGACTGCACATAGTCACCACTGTGAGTGCGTGAGTGTGGCAAGGACACTGAAGATCGATCTGCACTCTCAGCAAGCTTCAGGTGTACGACACGGTGTCGTTAACCGTAGTCACTGCCCGCCCTGAGGTCTCCAGAGCTTACCCGTCCATTCATAAGTGGAATTCAGTGCCTGCGACAGAATCTCCCTTCTCCCCACCTGTGCTCATCTCTGTTTCCGAGTCCGGCATTTGAGGTGGCTCCGACCTGCCCAGCCGCCTCCCACTCCCCTCCCTCTGGCCGCCATGCCTGGCAACTTTGCAAACTGCACTCTGGTTGACTCGCTCTCAGTCTGCTTTACTTGAAAATGCTCATTATAAACACAGTCAAGGATAGTCCTATAAGATGAGAGAGAGAGAGAGAGAGAGTGTGTGTGTGTGTCTGCGTCTCAGCCTTCCTCCTAGTGGGACATGGTCTCATCCACTGCAGTTTGCCCCGGACGCTAGCAGAACACCGTTGTTGGCACCAGAGTGCCCACCGAACCCTTCCTTCCTTCTTTGCTCGCACTGCCCAATGGGCTGCCTTGTAGTGTGTGTGAGAAAACAAGCGACTTTATAAGGACTTCTTAAAATACAAATGCTCAGTGATTAAAAATGTGGGCTTTCTTGAAAACCTGTTTCCTTCTCGAAGCAGAGTCAGAACACGGTGGGAATATCCTTCTCCACAGCAGAGGGTCCTTTGGTGAAGCATGATCGGGCTTTAGAGAGTGGTGTTTTCTTCCAGCTGCAGCTCCACGCGCACCTGCCCGTCCACTCATTTCCCATGGTTAACAGGCAGATCTTGTGTCCAGAGAGACCTTTTCATGTGGAGCTTCAGAATTTTAGGAGTGTTCATTTATAGTTTGCAAAGAGGAAGAAAAGTCCCTTGTTCTGAGAAGTTCCTCACACCTGTCCCTCTAGTCTGTCTCCAGGCCTTGTCTGAAGGAAGTGGTCCTGGGTGCCGGTGTCGGTGCCTCCGCTCCCGAGCTTTCTGCACCAGCGTACCGTGTTCTGGTCCCTTACTGCCTCCTCTTCCCCTCAGGCCTGTGTTCTGCTCACATCTGCCTCAGCGTGTGAGGGTCAGTGCCAACTCCCCAGACCAAGGGCCTCGTCCTGGGCTCACCCCCGTATGCAGACTGGCCCTGCTGCAGCCAGGCGCCTGGGCCCTCGTGCTCAGGGCTCCTGTCTGGCCCGTCTGCAGCACCATGCGTTTTCAGCGTGTGCGCCTGCTTGTGCTCCGGAGGCCCTGCTGCCTCATCTTTTTCACCCACAGCCTTGCTCTCTGGCCTTTACACCTCAGCCCTGCGGCTCCTTGCAGTGCCCGGGGGTGCTCGGACATCAGCTTCACACACCTTTTCCCACCCTGCCCTGCTACCTGGAAGCTGCCTCCATTTACCCTGTGCTTTTGGCAAATGTTTCCTGAGTAATTATGATGTGCCACGTGGATAAGTCAGAAACGGTCTCCGTCCTCGTGTGAATTGCAAACTGTGGGGAGGACAGGTACAGCTACCTGTACGGGCAGCTACAAAGCTGCAGTACGTCCTGGGATGGGGAAATCACAGAGGGGCACAGAAGAGTGGAGGAGGATCACCTTGCTGTGATTGGGAGGGTCAAAGAAGGTGCCTGGGGAAGGCAGCATGCCCTGGATACCTGGGGGGCCCCTCAGAGTGAGCTCAGTGGCCAAGCAAGGGAGGGAAGCAGCAGGCTGGGGGAGAGCACCGTGCAGGTAATGGTGAGAGCCCTCAGCATGGCGAGAACAAGGGGCAGGGCAGAAGGACAGGGTGAGGCCACAGGGTGAGCAGGGCCAGATGACAGAGGAGCTCATCTGTAAAGGGAAGGAAGTCACAGTGCGTCCCTGTGATCGTCAGCAGGCACTGTGGACTTGCATGTCTCATGTTGGGTGGCAGATGGACAACAGGGCGACGTTTTTCTCCACAACTGTGGCTTGAGGTTAGCATTGGTCTCTCCCCCATACTCATTCTCTCCTCTGCGATGGTTGATACCTGCGACTTGCTTTGGATTTCTCTGTGCCTGGCACACAAGAGGTGCCTAATAAACACTAAATGCCTGTCTGTCTCCTCCTCTGGGCCAGTCACTTTGCCCAGGGCTAGGGTCCTGCTGGGCATGATTTCCTGAGCACAGTGGAAGCACCCGACATCTGCAGTGTCAGGGTGAATGAATGGCACCTGATGGCTTCCGTTTAGGGTAATGGCACCCCCAGAGTCCTAGAGCGTTTGCTTTTGAAGATGGTGATTGTGATGAACCTCTCCCTGTCCAGTGGTCTCCATCGCCCTGGGTCATACTGTGTTTCATCTCTTACCTCTGCTTTGCAGATTATCCCCAAACCCAGCGAGCCTGCCCGGCAGCCCGAGAGCCACCCCGAGGAGACAGAAGAAGAGCTGCGTGAGCACCAGGCCTTGCTGGACGAGCCATACCTGGACCGGCTGCCGGGGCAGAAGGAGGTGCACGCGCTGCCCGGCGTGCAGGTGAAGCAGGAGCCCATCGATAGTGACGAGGAGGAGGTGGAACCTCCGCGGGAGGTGGAGCCCAGCCAGCGCCAGCCCACTGAGCAGGAGCTGCTCTTCAGACAGGTGACATGCAGGGCAGGGGGAGCACGGGCAGGCAAGCACCTGGCGACCATCCGCATCCCCGCAGGCCGTGTCCTCTGGACAGTTTCCCACTGTGGGTATTTATGTACCTGCTTTCCAGCCACATGCAGGACCCAAACTCTAAGGATAGTTTTTCTTCAGGGCTTAGGCTATAGGCTAACACAAAATCCAAATGTTAGTGGGATTCAAAGGGGGAAAAAAGGAGATAGATTATTAATTGGTCAAAAATATAGGCAGTGTCTAAGCAGAGGCCAGGACCCTTCAGGGCCAAGGAGGTGCTAGTGACAAGCCTTACAGATCCAGGAAAACAATATGACTTGGGTCACAAGTGACTGATGAAGAAATTTCTTCATCATTCACAAGAGACTGATGAAGAAATCCAGCAAATGATTTGTTAATTTCCAGTGAAAACTAAAGCTACCAAGTCAACAGAAATACTTGGGCCAGTCTGCCAGGGAGTCGGGAATGCTGTGTTGGAAACCAGATTGCTGTCCGTTTTATTCCTCACAAGCAGGAAATGAGCCAGGGGGGCTGGAGCAATGGAATTTAATGGTGTTTTCAAGCAGCAGAGCTCAGCACTGGGTGCTGTGGCCAGATTGCAGAGGCCAATCGCTCATCCGCTCCCATCCTGCTGGACTCAGTGCTGCTGCCCGGCTGACTGCTCAGCTCCGTGACAGCCCCAGTGTGGCTGGAAGCTGCTGCTGCACCTCCCCCATAGCACCTCAGAAGTCAGGGACTGAGTGACTCTGAAACAGACTGTTTACTTACATTCTTATCTGAAATTTTAAAATGTTTGCCACAGAGTGAATGGACATAAAACCTTGCACCGCAGGAGCACCTGGGCCCGCATCTTACACACAGGAGGAGCTCTTAGATTTCTAGAGGCTTCTCGGTAGAGAGCAGGCCACACCGCCCCCTTTCCCGGCTTGATGGTGCTTTTTCTATTTCTCCTTCAGAGGGTGGCCTCCATGTAATTTCTGGTCCACTTTATTAGCACCCCAGGCACTAAACACTACTTCAGAGTGCAATAGAACTAACACTTAGCGAGGACCTAAGAGAAGGCCCTTGACCTCTCTGTGGTGCAGACACACTGAAGGCAGGGGAGCGGTGCTTGTCCCATGTGACAGCCCCACGTGGGGGCTGCCTTGCATGCCTTGGCAGGTCTTGCAAGTTTGTGAAGGAAACAGATCTCTTCCTGTAACTGAGAAGCAATATGCTATTATGATGCTGACATGAAATTGGAAAGTATTTACATAAATAATTTTTAGGGTTGGTGTCTTGTAGATAATAAAACGGTCGGCATTTACTTGAGAAAAAGAGCCTTATGATAGTCCAGGTCGGAGACAGTTATTAGAAACACTCATTTTCTGAATTCTCTGCAGAATAATAAGCAGATCTCCTCATCAGGGGACTCGGTGTTCCGTGTAGCAATTTGTAGAAATAAACGTAGATGGGGGACCTAGTTTTGTAAAGAGCCGCAGGTGTCGGGAGAATTGGTTATTCAGCCAGGGCGAGCCTGCCGGCTTCAGAGGGGAACTTGGGCAGTGGCGTGTGGGGCGGTGGCGTGTGGGGCGGTGGCGTGTGCGTGCGGCGGTGGTGTGTGGCACGGTGGCGTGTGTGTGCGGCGGTGGCGTGTGGGGCGGTGGCGTGTGTGTGCGGCAGTGGCGTGTGCGGAGGTGGCGTGTGCGTGCGGCGGTGGCGTGTGCGGCAGTGGCGTGTGCGTGCGGCGGTGGCGTGTGTGGAGGTGGCGTGTGCGGCAGTGGCGTGTGCGGCAGTGGCGTGTGCTCCCGGCCCCTCCTGCCCTGCGGCCCCTCCCCTGTCTCAGGGCAGTCTTCCTCTCTGTTCCTTTCTGACTCTCCCTCCTAACGGCAGGAAATCCAGCCTGGACGGAGGCGCGCTCTCCTCCTCTCCGCTTAGCAGCCTAGGGCTGGGCCCTGCTTCTCATCTAGGAGCTGGTCTTCCAAAATCACGAGACTTTTATCCAGACTAAGACAGAGCTTGGGGTGGAGTTCCCAGGCAAGGGGTGCTCTGCTCCCTCCCGTACCCGGGCCTGCACCGTAGGCCCCTGGGCTCTCCTTCCCTGGCCGTCTTGGAGGGGCTAGAGGCGGGCTGCTTGAGCAGCTGCATCTTTGCCTCACTCCCTGTGGCTCCACAATGCTCCCACAGGGGGTGCACACCTGAGCCTGTCCCCAGCGTCCCAATGGGGTCCACTTCCCTAGGTGTGTCCCAAGCCCCTGGCTGGTGACACCACACTGCACAGAGTGCTGGCCAAGGTCCCCCTCCTTAGAAAGGCATGGCCACACCCTCCCAGCCTTTCCCTCCCGAACACAGTGCCCTGAGCACCTGGAGCCTGATCGGGCTGTCGTCTTTTCTCCCGCAGTTCTTTCTCCCAGCGCGAGGCCATCTGGGTGGGAGGCCAGGAGAGGGAAGTGCTCGTGAGCGAGGCAGAGTCAGCGTCCCCACATCTGCAGTTCACTCTCTCACCCATGTGTGGCACGCAGATGGCGAGCTCTTGGTCAAAATGAGACCAACACACCCAACGAGGGAGTGGTTTGTGCTCGTTTGCTGTTTCTGCAGCGTAGCCCGAGTGAGCTTTGTGGTCCCCACATGCGTGTGGCCTCCCGGGGCTCCCAGGTGAGGCCGGTGAGGGCCTAGCTGCCGACGTGCTGGGGTCCCACGCCCCCTCCCGTCCAGTGCCTTCTGTCCCACCTGCCGAGCCCCCAGCGTGGCGCCCCACCCTGCTGCCCTTCGCTGGGTCCAGGCTGCTGCTCCTTAGCTCAGCACCTCCTCACAGAAGGCCCCCTTGGTCCCCCAAACTGGGCCCAGCCGCCCTCTTGCCCTCTTGCCCTCTGACTAGGCACTTATCATAACAATAATGAAGAAGTCTGCGGCAGAATTCCATGTTGATAGCCTGTCTTCCCACGAGAAGGTGATGTCCTTGAAGGCAGGGCCTGTGTCTGCCTTGTTCTTGGCTCTGACCCTTCCGAGCATCGCTGCAGGCATAGGGAAGGCCTCTCACACGGCATCTGGGCATGTGGCGGGGCCAGACTCCTGGTGTGCTTGTGGCCTGTGAATGAGTAGGGAGACAAGTGGCTTGCAGAAGGATACCTGTGGCCCTTCAACCAAGAGGCAGGAGGTGACTTGCTCTCTTCTCCCCTGCAGCAAGCCCTCCTCCTGGAGCAGCAGCGGATTCACCAGCTGAGGAACTACCAGGCGTCCATGGAGGCTGCCGGCATCCCCGTGTCCTTTGGTGGCCACAGGCCTCTATCCCGGGCACAGTCCTCCCCAGCCTCTGCCACCTTCCCTGTGTCTGTACAGGAGCCCCCCAGCAAGCCAAGGTTCACAACAGGTAACCCACCACCTGTCACCGCATTCTGGGCAGGGGCGGGCTGTGTGAGGCCTCCTAATGCAGAGCCTGGGGGCAACGTCTTCAGTTGGGGCACACCCAAGTAAGGCCTGGGCTTACGCTCTTCAGAGGCTCAGGCAGGCCCTGCTGCAGGGCCCAAGAGTCACTGGACAGTGGGGACCAGAAGGGTCAGTCACCGAGGCACCCTTCCCACCCCAAATTCCTGATTCTGTTATTTCGAGGGCCTATCATGGCCTCAAAAGCCCACCTTCTATTTCCCAGAGAATCACAGTCTTCTCCAGAGAAAGGCCCCGTCCAGGTGCCGGCGTGGGCAGTTCAGAGGCTTTTCTCGCCTCCCACCTGTGGTCAGCAGGAACAGTAACCTAGCTCTTTTCCGTATACTCATCTTCTTGTGCTGAGCCTACACCAGTGGCATTGACCTTGAGGCCCCAGCAGTGTCCTGGTATAATTGATGCTCTGTACAACTCTAAACTATACAGAAGCAGAGCTCAGTGAGCCCCTAAGTCCTGCTTTCTGGACCAACTTGTCCTCTGTCTATCCGTGCTGTCTCACATGCCCCGCCCTCTTACCGTGAGCCGGGAAGCAACCGCTGGCAGGGATCTTTGTTTTTGCCTCAAAGGTCCCTCACCAGAAGGCGGGAGAAACAAGGCATCCGCTGTGGCCAAGGAGGCCGGAAGGCTCTGGGCGTGTAAGCCAGGGCCGCCTGGAGCCAGGGAGGACGCTGCCTTCCTGGGCCTGTCCCCAGGGCCCAGCCCCTGCACAGGGAGCAGGCGGGGAGGGCTGGCTTCTGGCAGAATGTGCCTCTGGGGGCAAGCAGGGGGGCCAGGTTTGCTCTCCATATTGTTTTGATTTAACGGTTCTTTTTAATGACAAATTAAGAAACAAGTTATGTAAATACAGAGTGGCTTCATCCTTCTTAAAGCAATTCTCATAAAATATCTTATTTTTCTGCATACTGCACAGTTCTGCTTTTCAGATCTTAAAAGGATACTCTTCATATTCAGAGAAAATTTTCGGTAGTAATTATCCAGAAATGAAAATGTTGCTTTTCAGAAAGAAAACCTCAAACGATCACAAAATCAGCCAGGCAACCCTCTCCACAAGTCCTTGTCCATTGACTGAAATCGATGTGTCCTTAAAAGAACACAGATGAGGAGACCTCGGTCACAGCCACACGGCACAGGGTCTCCCACACGAGCCGTGCCCACTGGGCCGGGCAGGAGGAGCTCCGGGCAGCCCTCTTCGTTGACGCCTTTCCTTAGTTTGTCTCTATTATTACTTTCTTTAAATTTATGAAACAGTGCATGCTCATTGAAGTAAAAAAAAAAAAAAAAAAGATAGAAACTCTTAGAAAATAACATTTGCCCTAAATCCCCTCCCCAGGGCTACCTGCTGTTAGTAGTTTGCTCTGAGTCTTCCAGGTTTATTCCTGTGCCGAGGCAGAGGGACAGGTAGACACAGACACGCCTTAGTCTGCAAAGGACTGTGCCATGCCCACGTGCCTCTTGTTCACACTGCACACCCTGGCCGCCCTCCCGTGTCCGGGTGTGGCCATGTGGTGTGCTCTTTACTTCACAGCGTCCTGGCCGGCTCCGCCGCTGCTCAGCTGTGCAGACTTGTGCAACTTCCCGGCCTCTCTCGGCTCTGGTTTTCCCTTCCGTAAAGGCAGCAGTAGTGGCACTCACCTCACGGGCTGGCGCATGTGCTCAGTCGGTGTCAGCGACCACCCCTCATCGTGATGCCTCTGTTGAGTGGGCAGTATGCATCTGTTGTGTTGATGGATGTCTGGATTGTTCACACACACGCACACATATGGGGGCACTCCGTGCCTACGTGTGTATGTACACACCACCGTCACAAACTCCTGAGCACACCTTCTCGCCCACGTGCTGTAGGGCGCTGACTGTGAGTTTCTGTGTTGTCCTGTAAGCCCGCACCTACCCTACTGCTTTTTAATCAGAAATCCCACCACCAAGCACTCGGTTTTGCTAGTGCACCCAGGATTCCTTACGTGCAGGGGACCGATTCCTGTTCACCTGCCACACAAGAGACTTAGCCAAAGGGTGTGGAACGTGATACGCGGTGAGAGCAAGGCACCTAGCTGGGCCCTACCGAAACGGGATCACCTTGCATCTTGGTGCAACGTGGCTGGGTGATACTGCCCCACTCCCAGCATCACACACCTGGTTGTAGCACTGCCAGGCACTCCCTTCTCAGTAGGGACAAGCACATGTTAGCTGACTGGTGCCCCTCATCAGGGACCTCTCCACCAAGGGTGGCTGTTCCCCCGGCCCTTGTCACGACCCTCGGGTGTGTGAGGCACAGACAGCATCATAACAGGGACAGCAGGGCAGTCCTCCTGCCAGATGTCACCAGGAACCAACCCTTCCCTCCCAGGATGAGGCCTGGCGAGCAGAGGGGCCCGCCTGCCCTTCCCTCCCCCATCTCAAGCCCCATCTCCAGACTGGCCAGGCATATCCACCTTCACAGTGGTCCCACATCTTTCTGACCATGATGTGGTGGCAGTGGTCACTCTGAGCCCCAGACTGCCCATCCTGTTGGTTCTGAGGCAGGCTGGTCCCCCAGAGGTGACCTTCCCAGTACTGCAGCTCCCTGAGGTTGGTCGGTGCTAGGTCCAATCCTGCCGTTAGCAGAAGTTTCTGAACTCTGTGTGTGTTCATGTATGTGTTTGTTTCAAATAGACCTGTGTTTGCGTGTTTGCATGTGTGCACTCTCTCACGTGTCCCAGCTGCTCTGGAAGTTTCTGAGGGCAGGGCCTGAGTCTTGTATGTCTTTGGAACCTGAAGTATCTTGGACAGTTCTCAGTCCAGCAGAATAGCCTAAGACGGGTTGCTCTATGACCAGATAGACAAGGGCTTTAAGCCACCGGGTCTTTCGCTTCTCGACGCCAGCATAGTCCTCTGCAGCACGGCCCCACAGGATCTCCCCTGCAGCATGTGCCTCCCCAGGCAGGTCTTCTTTTCACCTTTTTCTCCTACACTTCCTCCTGTGGTGCAGGCCCCAAACCTACCCAGCTGGGGGCCTTGGGGCAGTCCTAAGTGTGATGCTCTACTTTCGTCCACATCCTCGGGGCCGGGCCAGGCAGGGGCTTTTGGTGAACTCAGCAGTCTACAGAATCGTCCCAGTCTCCATCTCCTCCTAGAAAGTGCTGATTCTGTTGCCAACCTGGGGCAGCTTCTGGTGGGTGGCTGGCATGCCCCTGGGCGGCTCCTCTGCTACAGCTGCCTCTGCCCTCCACCCCAGGCCTCGTGTACGACACGCTGATGCTGAAGCACCAGTGCACCTGCGGGAACACTAACAGCCACCCCGAGCATGCTGGGAGAATCCAGAGCATCTGGTCCCGCCTGCAGGAGACTGGCCTCCGTGGCAAGTGTGAGGTAATGCTGGGCACCACGGCCACTGGGGATGGGCAGGAGGAGGAGGGCTCAGCCACTCAAGGTGGCCCAGCACACTCTTGCTCGGGCCCCTGGGGCACCCAAGCAGGTTGACTGTCTGGGTTGTAATAACCTGGGGAGGCCCAAGGCTGCTTCGCTCACGGACTGCGTCCTCCCTGCAGGGGGCTGGGCCCCTGCCCTGCACCCCTTACTGAGCATGTTCCTGCCAACACCCGCTGCTCCTCTTTTCATGCCAGTCTCTTCCCTGAAGCAGCGTTTCCAGCTGTGGTCCCTCTCAGACCACCTGGAACGTGCCGCCCACCGTCCTTCAGGCTTTGCGGCCAGGGCAGGATCTGGAGGCCCACAGCGAGAATCAGACCCTGTCTCAAGTCAGGCCCACTGGCTTTTGATAAAATAGTGTTCTTTAAGTTTAATATTCCAAAAAGCTGCTCCAAGTGTACGGGGAGAACCTCAGGCCTCGAGTGACTCCTCAGGACTGAGGCCCCCACGAGTCTGGGTGGTGCGGTGGGTAGAGCCGCAGCCACAGCCAGCTGTGGTTTGGATTCAGCTTGTCACACCCTCCGTCTGTTCTGCTGAGGTCCTTTAGATGGCTCTGGTGATAGTCTCCGGCCGGTCCTCAGTTTCGCTGTTGTCCTGCGGAGGTAGTGGCCACGCTTGCTCTCTGGCAGGGAGGCCCAAATTTGCTCCACCTCAAACCTAGCTCAGTGGCCTCCCAGAAGGCTCAGCGAGTGACATGTTGAGGTCCCTTCCCTCCTTCTGATGGGGGAGGGTGACACTTGCCTGAGGTATTTCCAGCATGCTCCCCCTGCCGTCGGCCATCTCATGGGGATCCGTATGTACCGGGCCCTGCTGACAGCACAGGTATGAGGAGAAGGGGCTGCCGTCCCTGAGAGCAGTTGGGCTTGGACAAGCCTGGGTTTCTTCATCTGGCGAGTGGGTCTGGCAGCACCCACTGCCCAGGATTGGGCTACGAGGATGGTGTCCAGCCTATGCAAGTGCTCACCACGCAGGGACCTGCTGCGTCCCACACACACTCCAGGAATCCCACCAAGCTAGAGGCAGTGTGCGGATGGATGGAAATGTCCACATCCATGCCCCCGACGGCCTTGGCGCCCACCTGGGCCCAGAGGGTGGCCATGGCAGAGATGCTTGAGCACGTTGTGGGGCTGGCAGGGTTGACCTGCTGTGTAGGCGCCCGGGCGCTTCGGAGCTCCATGCTGAATTATTTCAGAATTCCACCCCATGAGACTGCCGCTCCTCCTTTAGGAGCCAAGATACTCAGGAACTCAAGCCAGTCTGTGGTCTGTAGTGCCCTCATTCCCTCTGCCGGTTTTACTGGTGATACATAATTCTCAGGGGCCGGGAGAGGTCCAGAATCCTCCCTGAAGTGCCCTCTGGGGAGAAGGGGATCAAGCAGTCTGTAGGACTGAGGCTCCTGGCACCAGTGACCCAGGATCTGGCCAGGACAGCCGCACCACTGGGGGGCAGCATCGTCCCGCAGACACAGCCGTGAGAAACTAGACTCAGATGGACATCCTGTCCCCCTTCCAGGGCTGCCCTGAGGAACCGAAGTGCCCAGAGGCCCCCATGGCCTGCGTTCTAACCCTTCTCCCATTGCTGCCTCCACTCTCCCCAGGAGGGTCCACTCAGGCCAGGGGGCTTGGAGGTAGTTTCTCAGCCAAAAATGAAACAGAAGCAAGGTAAGAGTGAGAAAAAGAAAATACAGGCAAGAAAACAGAAAATACAAGGCCACGACTCTGCTCCCCTCCCCTCGGCGCTGTGTGTGTGTGGGGGGTAGGTGCTGGAGCCACGTGTCTCAGCCAAGCAGGAAAGGGAGGCCGAGGGCTGCACACTGAGCCAGGCAGGGCCATGGGGAGGAGAGCTGGGGGAGGACAGCGGCTCCAGCACACGGCTAGTGGCAGAAACGGGGTCAGGCTCCGACGTGAGCGCCCCGTTCCCAGTGCAGGAAGCCTCACTGAGGCTGCACTCCCGGCTCCCAGCGTGAGCCCACGGGGCCAGTCAGGCACGTCTGCCTCCTGAGAAGGCAGAGGGAGGGGACACAGGTGCTGGGCACCCAACAGGAGAAGATGGGGTGGACAGTGCCGTGACCTCCCAGGCCACCAACCGCCTGGAGGCCTCAGCAAGGCTGGAGCCCCACAGCCAGCCCCTCACTCTGAGGAGACGACTGCCCAGCAGCCTCGGGTGGGGGGCCTTTCCTGTGAGTGTGGCCCCTGCTCCATACTGGGAGTCGGGGCCAGGAGAGATGGGGCGCCAACCCAGCTCCCTCTCACCTTCACTCCACTGAGAATGCCAGGAGTCTCTTGGGAAGTCGCCATGCAGGTCATGCACAGTTAGGGATCCTCTGGCAAGTTCTCGGTGTTCCTGTGGGCCTAACTGGCAGGACAGCCACCACCCAGCTGGGTGGCCCCCACCCCCTAGGCACGGCTGCCAGAGAGGAGGGAATGGGGAGTGGCAGCATGGGGAGAGAGGGCGGGGGGAAGCCAGGCCATGGCAGGGACTCCCATCCTACCTCGGACTTGTGTTCACTACACAACCACGCAAGGAGCTCCCCACGCTTTGTCCCAGGAATTGACAGGGAGGCAGAAATAATGGGTCAGCCTCCTGATAAGGGCAGGGGCAGCCACGTCTAGCACTTTCCAAGGGGTCTGTACACATGCTGTCTGAGGGATTGTACATTAGTTCAAAGCTTCTATTAGTTCAGTCCTGCGTCTTTTCTATCTCATTTGACATATTTGTAAGCATGGGTATTTTATACTCTCATCTGGCTTATTCTGAAAATCTCTCTTGCTGCGATTCAAACTCTTATCCCAGGGTCTGGCTTTTACGTGCCCAGAGCACCCTTGCCACTGTGGCCTTGCCATTCACACCTGCAGTCCAGGGTGTTGCTGCCTTTGTGGACACTGCATGGCACAACTCCTGAGGGCGGGCCCCCGAAGAGGCCTCGCAAAGCATGGCTTGCCCAGGCACCATCTGTCCAGACAGTTTGGCACTGACCACAACTGTGAGTGCCCGTGCACAGAGGAGAGCTTCACGAAGTCATTAACAACGAGAAGAGCAGGAAACCAGCAGCATTCCGAGGCTGCCCTGGGCCCCATCTGCACCTGGCCCTACCCACCAGCCTTCCATGTGTCCCTCAAGTAGAAATATAACTAAATGGTGGGTGGAATCACAGGACCAGTTTTCTATCACTGGAAGTGAAACTGCCTCCTTTCTTTTTTAAGCAAGGTAGTTTAGCAGAGAAGGGCCTGACTTTGTGGAGTTGATGTTCATGATAAGAGAGTTTCCAGAGCACACCTACCCTGTGGGTGGGGGCTGCACTCTGCTGGGTCCTCCCACTATCTTCTCCACCCTGCATTGACAAGACCCTGAGGCACAGAGCATCGTGCAGGGGAGCCTAAGGCAGGGGCTTCTGTTGTACTGAGGGTGGCCCCGGGCTCCAGGGCATCCCTTGCCATGAGTGTCACTCACATGTGTGGGACCCCAAGACCTGCGGAAGGCAGTGGGCACTGGGGCCAGGTGTGTAGTCGGGAGGGGAAAGCTGGACCCTTGCTCCTGCCAGTAAAAATAGGAGACGGCCACCCGAGTGTCCTGTGACTCTCCATGTTAACCTAACCCGCAAAGAGCATCTCCACAAAAAGCATTAATGTCAATCTTGCATCGTAATCTGCCTCCTTTTAAAAGGTTAAGTAAAAGTAATTCAACTGAACAGTGATGTTTCTGTTAATTTCTGGGGTAAGTCTGAAAATAGCCCAGGGATCTTGATCTGAGGAATTCCCAAGCAACAGAGAAGACTCTGGAGCATCTCATGATCTGTGCAGCATGTGAGCCGAGTTGCCTGGTCCTGGCGCACAGCGATGCTCAGGGTAGGGCCGGTTCCCTTGAACGTGAACTTGGTGTCTCAGTTCATGCCACCTTTGGCAGTTTGCCTCTATTTTAAGACCAGACCCTGGCGGTTGAAAAGCAAAGTAATAATTTGATGCCACATCGTCTTGGACAGTGAAGGGTAGCACGTTGAAGGCTGGAATTACCTTTTTAGTTGTCTTTCAAAGCTATCATTCAAGTGTAATCTCTCTAAAATATTTTTTAAGTATGTTCAAATATTGTATTGGGTGATGTTTGCTTTTAATTTTGCAACAACCAGATAATTTTGTGCTTATTCACGTATAAAATTAAGTTCCCTTTGGGGTGGTAGTTTCGGTAGAGTTACGGTCTCTGGAAACAGAAGCACAGCGAAGACGTGAGCATCCTCTCCTTTCTGTCCCTGCAGTGCATCCGTGGACGGAAGGCCACCCTGGAGGAGCTGCAGACCGTGCATTCAGAGGCCCACACCCTCCTCTATGGCACAAACCCCCTCAACAGGCAGAAACTGGACAGTAAGAAACTTCTAGGTATTTTAAGACCTTCCTTTTCTCCTGTACTAGGGTTGAAATCGCCCAAGGTTGTTTTTCCAGCCCTCGGCCCCTGCGGTTGGGTGGCTGTGGGTGTCACCTGCCAGTCTCTGCGCAGCCACAAGGATGGGGATGGCCTTGCTCTGCAGTGTCCCCTGCCAAGTCATATGGTGAAGAGCCTGGAGATAAATTCTCACTCGCTGTTCACATGAGCCGCTGGTTTCTTATGAGAGCCTTGTCGCAAGCATGTTTGGGTAGAAAATGGGCTGGGAGCACAGGCTTAGAAGAATCTTGAAGAGCAGAGTTTTGATTCTAGAACACTGGATCTGGAACACTCAGACTCCCAGCTGTGCCCCCTCGCCTGGCTGTGAGCCTTGAGTTCTGTTCCGAGCTCCACTTTAAGGCTTGTCAGGGCAGAACCAAAAGGAGGCCGGGAGAGTGTTCCCAGGCCTGGCCACGTGCCTCCCAGGGCACCGTGAGCATTGGCTTCAGTGCAAAGGTTGTTTCCTGGCTCTGACAGCCGTTCCCTGCGTGAGTGGGGGAAGGGATATTTGGGCCTTGTGGAAAGAGCTTCCTAACAGAGGCATCTCCTGCCTCGGGGGGTGGTGAGAGTGTCTTCACTGGGACTCTTCAGCAGAGGCAGGTGGACTCTGGACAAACTTCACAGAGCCCCGGGGCTGACTGGGCATGGGGACAGGGGTTCTGTGGGCTCCCGGCCACTGTGAACCAGGACAGTCCCCAACCATGGTTTCTTCCCTGACTTCCCCGCCTTTGCCCCGTGGGAAAGAAGCCCGCTTCAGCAATTCCAAAAGAGGCAGAAAGGAGGGGGTCCTGGGAGTCACAAACACAGGGGGCAGGCTGTGTTCGGCTGGTTTCCTCTGATTCACATCAGAGATGTGGTTCACATCGCAGGGGCATGCTCTGTGCCAGGCCTGTGCTGGGCTACACCGCACGGGATACCGCACTGTGTGGCCTTTGTGCGCGCATGCTTGATTGTTGATCCACTCACCAGGGGCAGCTTCTGCACTGGACGTGCCCCAGGTGCTGCCCTCGGAGAGCCTGGAGCCCTGATGACCCATGTGGGTTCTGGCCTAGGGTGGTCGTCATGTTTCTTCCGGATTCCCCACTGCCCTGTACTAATGGGCCTTTTAAAAAGACATAACGCACAAGTTTGGGGAAACAGGAAAGGAGTCCACAGCAATGGGCTTTGGAGGCTGTAAGGCAGGAGGCAGTGGTGCTGATGTAGCAGATTCGGCAGAGTGGACTCCTGAGCCAGTGCTGGGACAAGCACCGCTGACACCCCACAGACTGCAGCAGCTCAGGGAAGGTGATGGCAGAGACCCTGGACTGGGGGTAGCGGAGGCAGGGAGGAGCTCAGGCAGGGACTGGGCCAAGGCTGACAGCGAGGCCTCTGGCCCCTTCGCTCTGGACCCCAGCTCCACAGGCCTGGGCAACTTCTAACTTGCTGCTCCGCAGAAAGGACATGACAGGGGTTGGGAACTCCATGTCCAGATCAGGGTGTCAACACCAAGCCCCACTACCGAGCTCTCAGCATGCTGACCTTTATCCTCCAGGCAGAGACAGGAGACCCCTCTTCAGGGACTTGAGCAGCCCAGAGGCAGCTGACATCGGGGCTGCCCAACAAAGAACCCCCCACGACCCCTGTTAATAGAGCTCGTGGTTAATAAGCGTGCCTGTGCCCCGAGCTTCCAGCCAGCATTTAGCACTTCATTCAGGGCTCATGCAGCGCCTGAGGAGCATTCTTCACAGGGATGCCAAGACGGGAGCAAAGCAGAGAGAAGCAGCTCGGAGGACAGTTGGGGGATGGAGGGAGCCAAAAACCCAAAACTGTCATTAATACCCTTAAGGACAGGAGATACTACGTCCACATAACGTGAACAGTGCAATAGAGAAGGAAAAAGTACAGAACGTTCAGAGGACATAAAAATGAAAAACAAGATTGCAGAAATAGAAACTCCTTGAGCTGGGAGAGAGGGTGAGGCCGTCGAGCAGACGGGCAGAGTGGAGATGGGAGTGTGGGAGGCGCAGACTGGGGGCCGGCAGGAGGACAGCGTCTTGGAGGATTCCGGAGAAGGTCCCGGAGCTGAAGGACAACAGTTACTGCTTGTAAGGACCCCCGAGGGGTAAAAGGCCCCTCATGGGGAGCACCTGTGAAGGTTTCAGAGCAGGAGAAAGAGAAGATGCCACAGGCTTCCAGAGAGGACCAGAGCCACTGTGGGCCTTCAGCAGTGGCACGAGGCCTTTCAGCTCTGAGGGGACATTCTTTCCACACCAGCTAAATAGTCTGGAGAGAGGAGGGGCACGGGGCGTTCGGGCGTGCAAGGCTATAGGAGTTTGACCTCTCAAGCATTCTTTCTCAAGAAAGTGCTGGAAGACAGGTTCCACCAAAGCAAAGGAAATAGATGCAGCAGCCAGCCCGGGGCAGGAGGCCCATGCCAGAGGCCGCACCCGTAGGACGGCCAGGCAATGGCTGTGAGCAGCTGGACCCACAAGAGCCACGCAGGAGGGGCGCTAACCACAGAGACACCACATGCCACTGGCCAAGGCAGGTCTGCATGACGTCTCAGGTTCTTCTCAGGCTCCTGCTCGTCTGGTCACATGGTTCCTGCCCCTCCCTGCAGGCCCCACTGCCCCAAGTCCACCCACCAAGTCCTCCGTGTGGGCCCAACCCTGGGGCAGAGGCAGCCATGTGGCTCAGAGGCAGTGCTGCTTCACTTCCCCACTGGGTGCTCCGACCATCACAGGCCTGCTCCCCAGGACGCATGAACAACCCCAGGAAGCTGTGGCCAGAGTGTGACCCCAGGCGCTGTCACTGCACAGAGCATTTTTGTCCTTTGCTTGCACAGTGAGGTTTGTTCTTGCTCCTCAGCTCGGTTTTCCAGAGCTTGGCTGCCACGATTTCAGGCATGTGCAGGAAGTGAGGAGCTTGGGAACAGCCACTGGGTCTGGTAGGTGTGCAGTGCTGTCTTCCTCCCACGCGTGTTTGGTGGCTCAGGCCATGCGTGAGCATTGTGTAGACCTGCAGCAGGCAGGCCATGACCCCACACACAGAAACAACAGCTGCCTACTTAGAGCTGTGAGGGGTGCTCGTGGGGCCCAGACCCCTCACCCTGGCAGTGATGGAGCAGGACTCGGAGGGGGCAGGCAGGGAAGTCTGAGATTGCCTCGGACAAGTGAGGGTGGGGCGAGGGCTCCCGGGGGGACAGGCGGCTCCCAGAATCCTAGAGGCAGGGGCTGTGCTGCAGGCAGAGGCATGGGGTAATGGGAAGGGAAGCAGAGGCTGGCTGGGGTGCAGGGGATGGGAGCCCTAGAGGACAGGACAGTGTGGATGGTGGGAGAGGACAGGCAGCCTTGAGTACAGGAGCAGAGCAAGTGAAGACTGGCAGCAGGGCACAGGACAGAGTCCCCGTCCCTCGGGGTTCTCCACATCCTTACCAGGAAATGTCACTGCTTACTGCGTGGCACTGAGCACCTTTCATGATGGGATGAGACTTTTATTAGGAAGTCACTGGTGCTGCCAGGCACCAGCTTCAGTGGTCGTGGGGACTTCCCAGAAGCACTCAGGTCAGGGGCATCGGCTGGTTGGCTCTTTCCTTAACTTGTCATCCGTCCATCAGCCCTTCTCCACCCTCTGCCCAGAAGGGAGATCTCTGCCCATCCGTTCTCACACCGGCTGTCCATCCTCAGAGGGCCGTTGTGGGCTGACCCACCACCCAGACTCCTCCGCACCTCCATCCTCCAAACCTGTCAGAGGCCATGGGAGAGGGGACAGTTCCATGCCAAAGGTGAAGGCGGGTTTAAATTCACCAATGGGAGAACGTTCTAGACTTTTAAGCTAGTTTCTAACTATGTTTAAAACAGATTATCAAAAATGAGAGAAACTGGACATGTGGTGGGTATCCTTAGGGAAGATCAGGAAAGCCCAGAGGCCCAGAGCTCCACACCGATCGATCCGACGCCTGGTACACCGTGACCCTCGGTTCACGCCAACCTGGTCCCTTGAAGACCGCACTCTTGTTTTTGGTTTCTTTGTTGAGATGTTTTTCCGACACCCTGTAATCCCATTCCTATCCCGATCCCGCGTAGGCAAGCATTTTAGTGTACTTAGTGTTTCTTTTGTTAGCCCAGTATGTTGTTATAAAGTGTATATTGTTTTTTATGTATGTTTAATTTATATCAGTGATATTATAGATCATTGTCTCCTTTTCTATCTTGCCAAGTAAGCTTCGTGTTTTAAAATCTATTCACCTTGCCATGAGGATAGCCAATCTGTTAGTTTCTTGCCACTTGAGATGTATTTTTAAATTTCTGACAGTTGTCCTAACTGAAGAACTTCATTATCATCAGACTAAGTATTTCAGACATAGTAATAGCTGGTGATTATCTCAAATTTTGTTAACATAACCCTAATTAGGTATTTAAACACTTCTGTGTGATTTCCCTTCCTCTTTTAATTGAACCCACAAATTTCTAAGCCCCATGCAAAAGGCCCCTTTGTAGTTGGTTACTGATGTGGTGAAATGCCACATGCCCACCGTCTGAAGGGGACCCTGACACTCAAGGCAGGCTGGCCATGCTGGGTTCATCTGCTGCCACTGACATGGTGCTGCACCACCAGGAGCCTGGCCTGGTGGGGTGCTGGGCCCGGGTCTGTAGGGCCCCTTGTAAGCAGGCACTGGACCCTTCCCTCAGCACAGCAAGGATAGCTTCGGAAGAAAAGCCTGTGTCTCTCCCAGCCCCAGCCTGGGCACCTGCTAGGAATGGACAAGGGAGAAGCCCCTGACTGTGGCTGGCCAGTCCCCAGGCCAGAGGTGGGCATGGCAGAGGGGACCCTCCTCACTGCCATCACGCTCAGGAGCTGTCACCAAAGCAGCTCCCCTGGGGAAAGCTCCCCGTCCTCGTGTGCACTTGGAGTAGGTTTCATGTGTTTGAGTACAGGATATGGTACTTTCTTTTTTTTTTCAATAGTAGATTTGGTCTTTGCTTGCTGGATAATGAGTAGAATCAAAACATTCAGAGGACTCAGGTTATTGTGGGCTGTGATGTCAGAAAGAGAGACCCAGTCCCTTGCAGAGCCCTCGCTGCTCCTTGTCGCATACGCACAGGTGTGTGTAAGTTTGTGCTCACGCGTGCTCGAGCTCTGTGGAGGAATGAGCTGTCTAAATCCGCAGTACTGCTGTCCCCATGTTGGGACAGTCAGTGATGTGAGATCTCCTCACAAAGACATCGAGCTGGTCACTGGGGGCCATTTACCACTCCTCCAAGGCAGTGCCCAATCAAGAGGAGCGGGATGCCCTACCCACTGTGCCGTGGAGCGTTAGGCGACTCTGCTGCACAACACGGGCAGCAAGCAGGACTGCAGGCAATGTGGTGCCCACACCGCCCCGTGTTCCAGTCTGGCTCCACGCACAGCCCTAGTACACAAGCCAAGCAAGCCCCCCGCGTGGCACCTCGCGTCCCTGCGTGGCAGCCCCTTGTGCACTTGCAGACCCATTTGCTGCCACTGTGGCACAAGGAGAGCAAGGCCATGTGCCCTGCCTCTGGGGACTGAGGGTTGGCAGCAGCACAGCCCCAGCGAGAAGTGTTTACTGATACTATTCCGTGCCCTGTGTTCACATCTGGAAGTAGGAATTGAGGCTGGGAGCCACAAATCCAGACAGTAGACAGTCAGCGAGCTGTGCCATAGAGAAGAGTGTCTTGGGCAGTGAGAAACAGGCCCAGGGAGGGACCGAGCGTCCTGGCCTCTCAGCTACGGTGGTGCTGCTGCCCTCGGTAGGCATGAGGATTGGTACTGACCTCCTGGGACGGCAGAGAGAGCACTGGGCTGGATCCTAGTCCACGCCACCATCCCATTGGCTGAGTGCCTGGTGTGGCCCAGGTTGGGGGCGGTGACCGATTGGACACACACCCGCCCTCAGGAGCACCAGACCGGCGTAGAGACTCAGCACAGGTGCCCGCTGAAGCTTGCTGGCCCCTCCCAGCACAGGGGATTGTGTTTTGAAATGGGAACACCTGTGGGTCCAAGCAGGCACTTTGTACCCCTCAGGTGGCCGGCTCTCCCATCAGGTGATGACTGTTTCCCTTTTCTCAGGAGAGACCTGTGGCCCTGAGCCCTTTCTGGAAAGTACTACAGGTGCCCCCCTCTGCCCTCACCTGCTGGTGTGGCAGCATTCCAGCCACAGTAGGTGGGCACGGTCATTGCCCAGCCCACAGGGTCAGCCTGAGCCTCCAGCCTTGTTGCTGATGCCACAGCGTCCACAGGGGGCAGAGCCAGGGGCTCGGCCTGGGTCGGGCCTTTGCTCAGGGCCTGGCTGGGGATCTCTGTTGAGATCCCATAGCGTAGAAGCAAACAGGTGTTGGCTGACCATCCTCTCTGTGCCAGCCGCTCTGATTGGACTTCTGTTGCCATCGCAGTTGCTCTTCCCGAGTGCTCTGTGGCAGGTGTTTGCACTGAGGCCACTGACCTGCCAGGCAAGATCAGGCCAGGCCCTGACCAACCCTGAGGCCAATTTTCTTCCGGTGGCTCCAGGCAGAGCCAGCGCAGGAGCACAGATCCATGAGCATCTGGAGCAGGAGCCAATGTTGCTGGTCAGGCAGAGGATGGGGGCAAGGGGGGCTCCTGGCCAAGGGTACAGACCTGCCAGGTGCAGAAAGTGGGGACAAGGAGACTGCTAGATCAAGGGGCTAGGGGCAGTGCAGAGACAGGCAGGCCCCCACCTGGGAGCCTGAGCTCTGCCGCCTGTCAGGGGCTTCTCCTTGACAGGTGAGTTTTAGGCTAGTTGCCACATTCAGCCAGTGCTGGGATCGCATTGAGGCACAAGACATGGTCCCCTCCCTAGGAGCACCTTTGTCACTGGGGGCAGACATGAGCCCCAGGGGCGAGATGGGATTGGGGGTTTCGCGGGCCCAGGCTTCCCTGTGAAGAGACCCAGATGGCCTTGTGGAAGTTCTGTGGTTTCTCAGTCTGCTGTGCATGGTCCGAGGTTGTAGTTGGGGAGAAGGCAGTCGTTCACATTCCTGGAAGATTCTTCAGCGTCTGAAAGGCCTCTCCCCTTGGCTATAGTCAGAGAGGACTGCTGGGACTCGTAACTTAGAGCCATGTGCAGAGCTGGTGAGGAAGCCCCCAGGAGCCAGGGTTAGGGGTCTTGGCAACAGGATTTGCTGTGGACACAGCCTTTCAGGAGCTGCTCCATGTGCCACAGGGAGCCCAGGAAGAGGGCAGGTGCCCTTCCAAGTACCTTGTGCTCCTGGGGGACGTGGCATTGCCTGGCTCCTTGAGGAGTGGGCACTGTCCCCTGGTGTCTGTGGCCTGGCTCAGCCCTGGCAGAGAGCCAGGTGCCTCCACCACCACAAGGTGATATGTGGAGGGGCAGTTGCCCTTTGAACCCAGTGCGCTCATGGTGTGAGGGTGTCGTGCATGCCCCCACACCCCAGGCGTTCCCAGGGCCTCACTAGGCCAGCCCCTCCTGACTCGCTCCTTCTCCCACAGGCTCACTGACCTCGGTGTTTGTCAGGCTCCCTTGCGGTGGCATTGGGGTAAGTATTGCTTTAATGTGTAAATAATGTCTTGTTTGTTCCCCAGTCCCAGCGGTCACAGAAACTGCGGCCGTGCTCTCCTCAGAGTGGGTAATTGCTGCCAGGTGTTTTCCATGGAGGGTCTGGGGTGGGGGCTGCCCATCTATGGCTTCAAAGGCCATGGGAGCTGCCAGCGTTTGATCACCGGGCTTGGTCACCTTCTTTGGGGAGGGTCATCTGGCACACGCAGCTTGGGCCCTGGTGGGCTGCAACTCTTGTTTTAAGAGACAGGCTCCCTTTTGCAGACTGGAGTCTCATCTCCTCCTAAGTCTGCAGCAGTAATCAGCTAACCTCAACTCAGATCATGAACGTGTTGTCAGGTGGTAGGATGTGTGTTTACTCTGTGTCCTGTCCCCAGCCCGCAGTGACAGGTGAAGCTCTCGGTGCAGTGATCATGCAATGTGTGGGCCACGTGAGGTGGCAAGGCTGGCAGCGGGGGTGTGGGTTTCCTCCACAAGCAGATGATGTTCTTAAGCTAGACACCTAGGAGAACCGGCATGGGTACGTGGATTACGAAGGAATATCCGGTCAGGCCCCGCCCCTTTATCTGTGCAGGGAAGGTCAGGACAGTCCAGTCCTCCCAGTAACAAAGAGCTGTCCCCTGGCTCCCAGCCTTGGGGATGAAGTAGGGGTGGGGGCAACAAGAGAGAGAACCAACTGCAGTTTGAAGGTGAGGCCAAGCTTCCTGGCTGACCGGCTGACCTGCTGACCAGCACGGATCAGCAGCACCGCCAAACACCACAGACGGTCTGAGAGTGGGAGGTGGACAGGAGCCCCGGGTCGGCAGAAGCCACTCTGGCTGATGCCACACAGGGCGTGTGTGAGCACAGGGCACAGGGTGACACTGCACAGTGTGTGTGTGATCGTGGGGCACAGGGTGACACCACACAGTGTGTGTGTGATCACAGGGTGACGATGCATGGCATGTGTGTGTGAGATCACGGGGTGACGATGCATTGTGTGTGTGTGTGTGCGCGCGCGTGTGTGTGCGTGTGTGTGTGAGATCATGGGGTGACGATGCACTGTGTGTGTGTGTGTATGTGTGTGTGTGTGTGTGTGATCATGGGGTGATGATGCACGGTGTGTATGTGTGTGATCATGGGGTGAAAATTCATGGGGGTGTGTGTGTGTGTGTGTGTGTGTGTGAGAGAGAGAGAGATATCACAGGGTGATGATGCACAGTATGTGTGTGTGTGTGTGTGTGTGTGTGTGTGTGTGTGTGTGTGTGTGTGAGATCACGGGGTGACAATGCACAGTGTGTGTGATCACAGGGCACAGGGTGACACACAAGATCAGATTCTGCTATAGAAGTGAAACAAACTTGTTTTCTTCTTGAGTCTTTACAAAAATCGGGGCTTTGAAAATTATCCTGTAAGAAAGGGAATAAATGGCATTTATTCATACCACCACCAAGCCCTCCTTGAGTTACTTTATTTTGTATTGTAAACAGGCGGCAGTCTCTTAATTTGGGGCAAAGTTTTGGCCAGACATGAACAGATGGGGATTTGCGCCGCTCTGCAGCCAGCTCACCACGCACAGCAGGTGCTGGCTGAGTGCACACTCAGGCGGGGGCCACAGCCCTCCCAGCGCTGACCCTGGTCTGAGCTGCACCTTCACAGCGCACCAGATGCATCTGTCGTGCTGAGTAGTGTGGGCACCCTTCAGGGGTGCCTCCTACGAGGTGTTTCTTCCTTTCATTTTCCATGATGACCTCCACCAGAGACAGTGGAGGGGTATGCAGTCCCCAGCCTGGCTTTGGGGTGGACCGGATACGTCCGGGGACAGCTGCAGCCCTCCTGTTCCTCAGTGTCTCCATCCAGAGCCAGCCCCTCAGTGCTGGGAGGAGCAGAGTAGACCCCAGGAGCCTGAGCATGGGCGAGATGGGGTGCCATGTGGGGGGCTGCAAGTGCAGGTAGGAAGAGGCTGGCCTGCTCTTGCTGACAGCAGTTTTAAATGCCCTTAAGTTGCATAATGGCTCTTCTAAAAGTTTGAAGCTCACCTGCCATGACTATGTTAAACATGGGCTTTAAATTGTCTTGACCTTTTTGCCGAGCCAATTAGTAGACACTTCTGATCTGTTCATCTCCTGGTTACTACAGGTTCAAGTTAGGAGGGGCTGGTGTCCTTGGACTTCCCTGCTGCCCCCCTCTGGGTCAGCCCCTGTCTGCCAGCACCGCCTCAGCCCCGGGTGCCCAACTCTGCATGGCTCCTCTGAGCCTTCCCTAGCTCCGGGGCGTGCTCAGAATTTGCCGGCCCCTCTGTTCTAAGTCTCCCTGAGGTTCTTTGTGAGAACCTCCCTCCCCTGCCCTCGCTCTCTGTCTTACTGCTGTAAATGCAGAGTCCCCACCTCTGCTCTGGCAGTGGCTTCACCACCTGCCCCACGGGACTGTCCCTCAGCTGTGCCTCGTGCCTGAGCCAGGCTGCTCACCATGGGCCTGTGCTCCTGCCACTGCCACCTGGTCCCAGGGGAGCTAGTGGCCAGTAGCTGGAGCCTGTAGGCCCTGAAGCAGCCGGAGGGTCTTGTCAGGTTGTCTGGGGACAGCGGCAGCCTGGGATCCTACAGTGGGGCTGGGGCTTTGTGCCCGATGTCCCAGGAGCTCCTGAGCCCCACAGTCATGCAGGAGGGGGCACCCTGGAGGGCAGAACAGTCCAACGGTAGCCCAGGTGAGCGGGGCACACAGTTCCTTCAAAAACACACGTGCGTCCGCTCATTCCCCTCCCTGCTGCATTCACTTAGTCCTAAAGCCCAGTGTGTCACACTGTGAAGGAAAATAATTTCTGAGTGTTTTTGGCCACACTGCCGCTGTCCTTGGCCCACCCTGGATGCTGCCACCCCCGGAGGGCACGGGGCAGCATGCAGTCCCCCTGCCCAGCTCACACGGGGCTGCCACTTTTGACTTCAATGAGTTGATTATCCAGCTGAAGTGACTGGCCCAGGGGGGTAGGCAAAGCAGAGTGTTCTTTGGACATTTGGAAACTATTTAAAGACCATAGACGTTTGGTGATTGAAAAGAATAACCCTCGCCGAGTACACTCCAGGAAATGTCTTCAGCCCTCGTAAATGCATTTTAAATCATCTCGCTTTGAAGATGAAACTTCAAGACTGCCTGGAAAGAAATCTGTTCCTCCCACGTCACGATCAGTGTCTGTCGAGTGGCACGTTGGCCTCGCGGTGGCAGGAGCCCTGGGCCTGGGCGGGTGGGTGAGGAGGCGGGCACAGGTATGACCCCAGTGTGCTCGGTGCTCAGAAGATGTGGGTCTGAGAAGGAGGGTCCTCCAGTGGATCCGGTAAACATCTTGTTAAACACGCTTGCTGGGGCACAGCTTCAAACTCCCAAAGCTGGGCACAGCCTCAGGAAGGGGATGAGTCCCAAGTGTGTCTGGCCAAGGAACCAGTTGCCCCACAGCATCTTGTGGGTGAGGACACGCTTGGGGACGGCTGCTCAGGTGCCCCAGGCCCGGCCCAAGGGCTGTGTGTTTTATTGTAGCCCCTGAAACACACCCTACCCAGACTCCCACAGGGAGACTTTTCTTCTCACGACTGCTGTCAGTCTCTGTCTTCTTTCTCTCCCACTTTAGCCAGAGCTTAAAAAAAAAAAAAAAATCTTATGTGCCTAAATAAATAAATGAACAAACACACAAACAGAAGTTGTTTGACATGTTCGTGTGAATCACGTTTTCCATTTGAAGTGGAAACAGCCAAGTGGCCGGATTTGCAGTCACCTGGGCAGAGTTGTCTGTGGTCACCTAGGGCAGAGCACGGTGATTGTCCCTCCCACCCCTAACTCCCAGTCCTGTTTAGCTGCACTTGCCAGTAATTAGAGCTTCCCATTAAAGACAGGACAAAACAAAGTTATGATTTGAAGAGACTACTAATTTTGATTCCTCACATTTCATTCTGCTAATTGTAGTATGAGTTTCTTAACTGCAGTTGCAGTAAAAAAACAAGTAGGTGACCCTTGACATCATTAGTCTTAGCTCTGAGGATATTGGAGCAGCTGAGAGCAGAAGGGACACCTGAGAAACGCTAAGAACACACACGTTGTTTCTGGTGCATTCACTTTTATTTTTCGTGCAGTATTTTCTGACGTGTTAAAAAGAAATAAGCCCAAATGTGGGCCCTGGTAGGTCCTGGGCTGTTAGAGGCAGAGCCATGGGCCCATGGGCTTGCCCCAGGGGTGGCACGACCTCACCATGCAGCGTTGTGTCCACAGGTGGACAGCGACACCATCTGGAACGAGGTGCACTCGTCGGGGGCGGCCCGGCTGGCCGTGGGCTGCGTGGTGGAGCTGGTCTTCAAGGTGGCCACGGGGGAGCTGAAGGTGAGTTGGGATCAGGTGGAAATGGGCTTCTGAAAGGAGGCCTGCCAGCAGGTGTCCAGCTAGGAGGGGGACAGCCCTCTGCCATCCCCTCAATCAAACAAGAGGTGGCCGTGGCAAGGGGAGGTGCCTCCTGGCCAGGGATAAAGGGTGGGCCCTGCTCTGTCGGCACAGCCTCCACGTTGAATCCGAGGGAACCTTTCCCACGCTTGTGAAAGTATTTATAATAGCAACAGCATCTGGCTTAGTGGAGGCAGCTGGGTTCTCACACCTGCTTTGCATCACTCTGCTACGACATGGCGAAGAAATCCTCGCCCTCACAGAAAATTGGGAAAGGAAGAAGTGTTTTAGCAGCCTTTTCATTTAATTGTGGATATTCTTATTTGATGGTAACCAAAACTCAGCAAGCAGTAGTGTCTTGAAGACCGGCTGCCACACGGAGTCCAAAACCATTTCGGGGCCTTTTCCTTCTGGTTCCGTCAGCACCACCCGTTAGCCTGTTTTGCGTGTTGAATAGATCTTTTATCCATGGGTGATTTTGTAACACTGTGCATTGGTCATTTAGAAATTTCGGTTCATTAAGTTATGTACATTATACAATATCAAAAAGAAATCACTAATTGTTTAAAACCATTAACATCACCACCCATCTCATGAGAAAAGTCTTTTAAGTACTATGGTCAGGCTCACAGTGGCAGGTACAAGTGTTCCAGACTTCTAATTTGCATCTTGAAAGCTCAAATTTTATTGCCTACGACAACTACTGAGTGTCATTTTTCCTTTGAGTGATAGTCTCACTGTCTGAGAACTGTCTTTGACTTACCCAAGTTGGAATAACTAGTTTGTCCATCCTTCTTCTGAGGAAAATTGGCATTCCTAGAAAAAAGGAGCTGGCTCAGCTCACAGCTCAGCAGTCGCACAGCTGTGCTCCCCGAGATAGTCCTCGCCCTCGGTCAGTAGTGGAACTGCCCACGTGCCTTCCCTTTCCTTTCTGCGGGACATTGAAAGGATGTGTGTCCGAAGGTGGAGATTTAATAAAATGTATACATTGCACTGCTTCCTGAAGCACATTTCTAAGGGCAACTGCCTTCTCCCTGCAGCGTGTGCTGGTGAATGCAGCGAGGACGAGCGCTGGTCCATGCCGCTGCGTAGCCACCGCTGTGGCACCAGCACCACACCCTACAATGCTATGGCACCACTGGTGCAGCTGTCAAAACAGTGAGAAAGGCAAATAGAGCCATAGGACTGTTATAGCATAGACCCCCGGAGGGGTCCGCAGACTGCAGAAACAGGGAAACAGTTCTACAGCGCTGAGTTGGTTAAAAGGCGGACCTACCACGTGTGTTGGTCTCTCGACCTCGCTTGCTGCCCTTGTCCCTTCCTGAGCCAGTCCCTGTGGTGGCCAGCTGACCGCTTCCCACACCCACTTCCCACAGTCATTAATGGTTGGCTGGCCCTTTAGAGGCTGTTAAGAACTTGGACCACATAACTTCTTGGTGGTGGTGATACCAGGAGGTGCCCGTTTAAACCATTTTTATTGCAGCAGCTACAGAGCAGTTTGCAGATGGTTTTTAAAGCACAGGCAATGGGGGGGGGGGGCATGCAACTATTTTCCAGCCTCTGAACCATTTCTCTCAAGTGTTAATGGAGTTGTTTGTTTTATGTTTTGCCTACTCGCTGAGAACTGAGCTGCAGTAGGACAGGGACATGTATATTAAGGCCAAACTGGGGCACAGAGTCCCTGCCAGCAGCTGACTGCCTGCACGGGCCCTTCTCCCAATCTGCGTCTAGGTGGACGCATGTCCTGAACAAACAGGGACCCAGGCCCCCTTCCACACTTACCCAGACATCGAGCCAAGCCGCCCAGATGTGGGTACACAGGGGCACACCAACCTTTCCTCTCAGGAACTTGGTTTCATAACCAACACGCCTCTTAGAAAGAAGGGACCCGGACTTCTTTGAAAGGTTGACAACCAGCCCTTTATTCTATGCCATGTCAGTGTGGTCAGGGTGTGACCAGAAGCTGGGTCTTCCATTTATTCTGAGTCTGCAAAAAGCTTAGTTTGTTAGAGTTTTCTCATGGATGTAGAACATATCTGCCATCACTCTCTCCCATCCTCTGTTGTCATCTGCAGAATGGCTTTGCTGTGGTCCGCCCCCCGGGACACCATGCCGAGGAGAGCACGCCCATGTAAGTAGACACGCATGGTCCCTCGCAGGCAGGGGACACGGGTCCTGGTCCTCTCCAGGAAGAGCTGGGTCGGCACCTGAGTGACGACAGGGACTGAGTTGCCATTGCTCACCGGCCTGTGACATGTTGTGTCCATGCGCTGAAGTAGACTAAGTGCGCGTCCCAGGAGCCACGTGGTGGGTGACGGGCACAGACTCTAAACCCACCATCCTCACCGATGGGTCATGAAGAGGAGATGGATTGGGGGAGGAAATGAGAGGAAAGGGGTCCATGGTCATTCAGAGGGTGTTAGTTGTTAATTTGTTGTCTGAGCCTAGAGTAGAGTAAGGCAGGTGGTGCTTCATTGTTCTAGAGAGTCGGGGCCAAACCCCTTGGTGCATTTTCGTGTATGGTCTTGTAGCTGACCTGCTGACAGTTGGGTACTAATGAGGCCAAGTCACCAAGTCACGTCCACATGGACCAGCTGTCTGTATTCTGTTTTGGGTCTTCTGGATCCCCCTGACTATCCACACTTCTGAGGATTTGGACAAGGGAGTGAGTGTGGGGTATGGACCGTCCCGGGCCCATCACTGCCTCTGGAGAACCAGTGACAGGTGGACACCCAGCACAGGCTCCTGATCCTGCAGCTGTCGGTGGCATACCTTTGCTGCCTGGGTGGTGAGTTAGTTATCTTATCAAAGAGCCAGCTATCTTGTGGGATGCTGGTGGCTTCTCTGATGAGCTTGGTCAGCCCTAGAAAGAGTGCATGCCCTGTGCTCTGGGGACAGAGCAGGGCACCTGATTTTGCTGGATAGAGTTAGGAGAAGATGGCGTTTGGGTTATGCCTCGGGGAACAAATAGCGGTGTCAAGTGGGTCAAGCGAGGGTAAGTGCAGACACTCACAAGGGCACTTTCAGGGAGAAACCAGGACGCACAGCATGGCCCAGGACAAGGGGAGCCACAGGCCGAGCTGGGCCAGGGCCTCCTGCGCCACCCCAGGGGGCTTGGGCTTTATCAGATGGGCAAGCAGGAACACTGTCTCTTCACAACAGGAAGTGAGGTGTGTGTTTGGAAAGGCACCCCCTCATGTTCAGAAAGAGCAGGTTGTAACCACCGAGGAGTGAACTTCAGGTTGGCATCTTTGTGGCTTTTCCTGGGGGGGAAAAAAAAAGCTGGTTACTGCACGTCCCAGAACTCACCCTGTTACTTAGGTATCCTGTTTTCTGTTTGTTTCATTTCCCAGAAGTTACTTCTCTAATTTGAATCTAAGTCGTTGGATATTCTAAGTAATAACTCCAAGTGAAATGCGCACAGGTGTTTTTGGTTGAGTTCTTGCCTGTGTCTCCGACGAGCACTGCAGCTATAGTTCTAAATCTGGAACAGCAGAGCTCATGCCACGGGAGGGTCGCTGGTGTGCGCGGTGCGGGCTTGCAGCATGCCGGCCTGGAGTCTGCCGTGGAGTTTCAGACAGAGGAAGACCGAGATCAGAGAGATTGTCATCGTTACTTTATTCACTTCCTTGGCTTGTTTCTTTGATCTTCTGAATAAGACTCAAAAATTACAGTTCATCACTTGAGCGATCACATGTATCATTATTACATGTCTCAGAACATGGAAAGATAAGCAGTAAGCAACTAAGTTAAGTAACTTCTGTGTTTGTGGACCAGAGCATCTCTTCCGATGTCTGGGGACAAATAAGAGGGAAGTACTGGCGCAGACAAAGTCAAATTGATTTGTTTGGTATACGGGTGTTAGAGATCTCCAGGCAGGGGACTGCGTGTATATCGGGGGGTGGGGGGGTATACATCCGTGGTGTGTGTGTCTGTGGTATGTGTCTATGCATGAGTTTGTCTGTGTGCTGTGTGTTTGTGTGTGTGTGTATCTGCGTGTGTGTCTGTGTCTCTGTTGGTCAGTCACACAGCATTAATCAAGGTTCCCTAACTACTTGATCAGGAGCCATGCATTCACCAGAGTCTCCTTAGACTCTCTGAGACTCTAGATGGTTCTGTTGCAAGTTGTGTAAAAACTGATAAGTACGCTGCGTGTCTCTGTCCTCATTCTCTCCTGCAGGGGCTTTTGCTACTTCAACTCTGTGGCTGTTGCTGCCAGGCTTCTCCAGCAGAGGTTGAACGTGAGCAAGATCCTCATAGTGGACTGGGTAAGTGGGGCCAGCTCACCTCTGTGCCCCCGAGCAGATGACGGTGTGTGTGGAGACAGGAGGTGCATGCTTTTGTTGGGAACTATCTCAAGGATGCAGAAAATTAAAGCCCCAAATGAGTCTGTGTTACAGCTTCAGTCAGCCAACCATGCCAATCACGGGCTTCTGAAGCGTCTAGAAATTTACCTGTGGTTGAAGGCAGCCGCTAGGGTGACCCGTGGCAAAGTCTTACTGGAAGGTTGGAGTTCAGGAGGAGAATGTGCCTGGCCTTGACCTCGTGCATCTGACCTGGGAGCGTGGGATGTGTCCTCCGCCATCTGGAGGCTGTGCTTGGGTTCTGGGGCACTGCTGATGAAAACCCCTTCCTTCCTCCTTTACATGGTCCCAACTAGTGCCAGGATAAGTGGCTGAGCCTCCTTTTCCATCTTGCTCTAGGAGGTCCCACTTCTCAAAACCACTCTGCCCCAAAAGGGGCCAACTTTTTAAAATAATGCTGTATAATATCTGAATCTGAATTCCAAAGATAGGTATTCTGATTCTTATACTGGAAATGAGTATCGAGGTATTCATTTTATTTTTCTTTTTAAGCCGTATATATACATATATAATAGTCCCTTTGGTGTTTATGATTTATGATTCATTTAATTTTTTTGAGGAAAAAATCTCAGATGCATCAGGTGGGGTTATGATTTGCATTGCAAGAGTTCTTCTCAGCTCAGGAAAAGAAATAACAAAACGCAGCCCAGGTACCCCGCCGGCCCCCAGGTGGCCGGTGCTGGCTCTTACCTGGCCCTGGGGGGCGTGGCTGGGGTCACGTCAGCGCAGGCCACCAAGCAGTCGGTCTCCCACATGGGCACCCACCTGGCGGCCAGCACACCCTCGCTCAGCTGTTCCTGAGGAGGGGTTGGAAACGGACTGGAGGGAAGCGAGGACGCTGGCGGCACACAGTGAAGGGGCGCCTCTGCCCAGCACACAGGCCGTGCCCTGTACAGACGCTGTCATGCAGCGTCCACCAAGGGCTGCAATCACTGCCGCATTAACTGTACACAGAAGTGCGTGTGGCGTCCTCACAGCCATGCACCAGCCTCACAGAAGCTTCGGCGTGTCCTCACAGCCACGTGATCAACCCTGGGGGGTCGCTGCTTCTGCTCCCTGTGTGTGGCTGTGGCTTCCACACTTTCTGTAACGAGCACAGGCCACCTCATAAGTAAGAAAAGACCCGAAGGAGCAATTTGCCATGGTTACGACCATTGACTTGTGTGCAGCGAGGCTGCCCTTCACCCGCCATCCTGGCACCTCCCAGCATGGCAGGAAAAGATGGCCGCAGGGCTGGCAGAAGCCCCAGGCTGCCTCTCATTGCCCTCTGGTATTCATGACATGGGGATGGGCATTGTGATTAAGAAGAGCAGCTTGTCGTTTTAATATGGGTGTCCGGACCAGCCTCGTGGGGGTTTTTCCTGCTCTATCCGTGGCTGGTATAGAGTCAGCCCCTCACATGTGCCTATAAGTGTACAGGCCACAGTCAGGGACCTCCCTTCCAATGGAGGCCTAGGGCATGGCTCACTGTCACAGAGACACGGCAGGTGCAGAAAATTAATCAATGGCTCTGTTTGGAAGACCATGGCTGCTGGGCCTGGCTGAAGTGCCAGCGTGTCCTTTTTGCAAAAATCAGGAATGTACCGTGATACTGGGGGCGAGGAGGACAGTACTGTATTCTCAGACACTAGCCCTCAGACTACCCTGCACCACATAGTCGCCCACACCTGCTGGGTGCAGGCTTGGCTACAGGTGCAAGGTGACTCTGAGCAGGCACCGTTGTCACAGGGCCTGGACGGAGTTGGCTGAGCCGGGAGGGCCGTACCTCGGTGCCTGGTTCTGCCCTGACCTGTTCTCGCTGCTCTTTAAGGATGTGCACCATGGAAATGGGACCCAGCAGGCGTTCTACAGTGACCCCAGCGTCCTCTATGTGTCCCTGCACCGCTACGACGACGGGAACTTCTTCCCGGGCAGCGGGGCACCTGATGAGGTGAGCAGGTGGCACTGTGGGAGGGAGGCCGGGCGGGCACGCTCTCTGCCGCCCAGATGGTAATTTCCGGCACATGGCAGCCAGGTGTGCACACGTGGCCCGGATTTTGTCTGAAGTACAAATGAAAGAGTGGACCTCACTTCTGGTTCCAGTCTAGGCAAACTGAAGTACTTGTGCACTAGCAGGTGTGCATGTCCTCTTTCGCCCGGGAAAGGCCCAGGCGCTTTGTGCGGTCCAAACAGCGGCCCACGCGGCATCTTTTAGGGGACCCCTGGGGCAGGGCACGCCGTCTGTCCTCTCACCTGTGGGTGCTGCGTGGCAGGCCTGAGGCTCCTGCCCTCCCTCTGCACAAGGGGGCCCCAGCCGTGGGGAATCGCACCTCAGAGGAAGGCTTCACCTGCCTGTGGGTCCAGCGCCTTGGAAGGAAGTGGGGAACGACTGAACCATTTACAGGAATTTTCTGCCCAAAACGAGCCAGGCCTGGCTGCCCTCTGTTCGTGTACAGCACAGCACAGAGATTTACTGAGGCACTTAGTGGCCCCCTCGTGGCTCCCCACAGTTCCCACAAGTTGCGGGCCACCGAGAGCCTGGCATTCTGTGAGGATGGCGCTATGTCGATGTCAGAGTGTCAGGCTGGGGGTGGCAGCAACGCACACTGTCAGGCCACACACTGGCTGTGCCTGTGGGGGCCACGACGCAGAACCTGCATCATGTGTTCCTGTCACAGACGTTCACCTCAAGGGTCCGTGACACATGTTTCTTTCCTGGCCACAGGTGGGCACAGGGCCGGGCGTGGGCTTCAACGTCAATATGGCTTTTGCTGGTGGCCTCGACCCCCCCATGGGAGACACGGAGTACCTGGCGGCCTTCAGGTGAGTCTGCTGGTTTCGTTGCTGCCCTTCCTTTGAGGGCACATTCAGATCACCTTGGGGTGGGCACCCCAGTCCATCAGGGAGCACTTTTCAGAGACCAGTGCTCCTGAAGTGCCATGTGTGGATGACTGCAGTGCTGGGTGCTGTGCGGGTGCCATCCACTCTTTAATGCCAGAAGTGGGATCTTTGAGACCCATCTCGCCTTTGTTCCTAGTGTTCCCTTCTTGTGCATTAAATAAAAGTCAGGAATCCATCTTGGGTCCTGATGGTAAATGGGGACAGAGGCAGGGACTTGGGGCACAGTGTCGGAAGGTGTCCCATGAAGACAGACAAGAGCTCAAACCTGAAAGATTTCTTAATCTCCTCACTTTTCATTCACAACCCCTTTGTGAGATGATGCAAGACATAAATCAGGGTCCCCTTCGTTTACGTGGAAATCGGGCTCTGGCCCCACTGCCGTTTCCTCTGCGTCACTGGGCCCTTCAGAATACAGCTGCAGGGTGATTCTTTTTAAACACGGTGTTTGCTTTTATCATCAAATAGTAATTTCTACTTTGATGTAGGCCAGGTTGAAGTAATTCCTGCCGCCAGAAACGGGTGGCCTGGCGGTGCAGTTTTCTCATGATTTTCGGTACTGTTGTTTTAAAATGGCAGTCTCCACCTGCCATGGTGGAGGGAGGTGGCTCTGGTGGCCGAGCGCGTCCCTGGGCCTCGTGAGGAGGAGGGCTTTGTGAGCGTGGCTGAGCCTAGCAGACCACCAGTCTTTGTTGGGAAACTGTCAGTGCCGTATGCATTAGAGCCCCATGAAGTTTGCAGGGCATTTTTCTCTCTGCTTCTTTCTCTAATTCCACCATCTTGTTGTCCTGATTGCTGTACATATAAAGCACATGCATGTAGGCACGTGTCTGTGCAGTGCATGTGGCTGTATCTCTGTGGACGTGTGTGCACATGTGTCTGTGTACATGGCTGTGTGGAGAGTGTGTATTCATGTGTCTGTAGCTGTGGATGTGTTTGTGCAAGGGTGTGTGTACCTGCCTGTGGGCACGTCTGTGGGGATGTACACTCACATCTCTGCATGTGCACGTGTGCGTACACATGTGCCTGTGTGTGTCTCTGCATGCACATGTGACTATGTGTGCATGTCTCTGTGCACACGTCTCTGCCTGTGTATGCATGTCTCTGGCGGGTGAAACTCTGCACATGGACACATCTGTGAAAGTTTTGACACAGACTCTGCCACATGCTCTGTGGGGACCCTGGATAAGTCAGGTGCCCCTCTCAGCATCTGCTCTCATCTTGAGATGGAGTCCTGGCCCCCCGCCCAGAAAAGTTGTCGGGGCCTGGTGGTGTAAAGGCTTGCCCAGTAGTTGTAGGTCCCCTTCCCCAGCCTCTCAGTGGTTTGTAGAAATAACAGATCCCATTTGGTTAAATCGAGGCAGAAGGTCAGCTCCTCAGACGATGAAACTGGTCTATGCAAATAGGAATTAATTACGTCCATAGAAGACCCACACTGATTTCCCCCGAATCGCTTTTTCGTCTGATCTCCTTGGTTTGATCTTGATATTTCTTCCTACTCTTGGTCAGATATAATGTAATTTTGACAATTGCCCTGCCTCATTTAAGGGAGCAGGACTTCCCCAAACACAACATCTGAAAATTTGTAATGTGGGATTTGAATCTGTGAGACGGGGTTGTCGCAGTCTGTCTATGGGACATGCTCCCCGGTGGTGGCACAAGGTCATTTCCCCACTGAGAACTGACCCTTTTTGAGGCTTCTGTGAAAATAAAGTGCCCGGACCCCGTGAGAGGTGTAGATGCTGCCTGGCCGGCTTCCTGCCTGAGGGAATGTTGGTGCTTCCCAGGGGTCAGGGGCCCGGTGTGGCTGAATTCTGGTGCAGAGAGAAGGCGGAACGTTCTCGGTTTGACAGGTAAAAGTAGGCGGTTCTCTCTTCTTTCAGGTCAGTTTTTGACTGGACTGGCCCATGCCTCGTGGACATTTCTCGACTGTAACTTCGATTCTCTGATCCTGGGGTGAAAATCTCCCCACCTGTGTCCTGCTGCAGGGTAGGGGTAGGGGTCTGCCCGCAGGACCCCTGTGGGACCAGCCTTTCAGATGAACCTTTCTGAACTGCTCTTGACATCCGTTTTAATCTTCTGCCAAGTGTACACATGATAAGACCTTATCACGTGCTCTTTGAAAAGGAAAATTGTTTCAGGGTTTTTTTATTGATTTTAATGTAAAATAGTACTTTGAAGTTTACAATTCATGGTTCCCTGGGCACGGATGGGGGCTGAAGGTCAGAGATTCGTTTCCCCCTTTCTTCTGTGCCTCTCTTCCTTCTGGGGGCCCCTGGGACAATGTGTGCCTTAAAGGCAGCGCCTTGTCACTCAGACCCGTTGCCTGCCACGTTGCATTTTCAGGGGATCAAGGCTGAGATGAAGAAAAGATAAGAAAATTGCCCCTAATGAAATCCAGAAGCAGCCGGCACTTTCTCCTCAGGCTCAGAGACTCGCACGAGAAAAGGCGACCTTAATTCAAACCAGCCGCAGCGCCAGACTCGGCTTTGAAGTTGGCTGAGCGACGTCTGCACAGACAGGACGCGCTTCCCTTAACCCCTCCTGTACCTGCTCGCCAGCAACGTTGCGGGTCAGCCCGTCAGCAGTGACGAAAACGAAACTAACGTTACTTTTATTCATGACTTGGATTTAAATGTGGCATGATGAAGCTTATCAAAGATATCGTGAAACTGGGTATTCTAACATGGTGACATTAATCTCTTAATGAATTGACGCCGGCCCTCAGTCGAGCACCTGGGCAGTGGCTCTGCACGTGCCCAGCCTCTGGAGCGGGCGCCAGGCTGAGGCTCTTTGAATTTTCATTACCTCCATAAGACGTGTTCTTGCTTCTGCTTTTTTAGACAGTTGCTTTCTACGATTGTGGTGAACTACGCACAGACTTACTGTCCTGCCGTCTGCCCTGTGCACGGCAGTGGAACAATGCCTGTTCCGTGCACACTGCACCTGCGGGACCAGCCTTGCTGCTGTCTGGATACTTGCCCCAGCCCGTTGCACCTTCTGGTCTGAAGGCAATTGTGTCTCTTTAAGGTCATCAAATATTCCCCTATATAGAAACCTGAGGACGTTCTATGGTGACTTTAGAAGCAAACGATAGAAGCTAAGACTTAGTTGAGGACTGCTACGTTTAGCCAGCCTCCTCCGTACCTGCTGGGCCCGGCCCTTGGAAATTATGAACAAGCACAGTCCCACCCCGAGGGTGGCAGGGACCAGGCAGCAGTTGATGCGCGGAGCTGAGTTTGGTAGAGCGGGCACTCAGGGTGGGAGGTGAGGGCCTGCCCACTTGGGGGGCCGAGCCCGGGCTGAGTCTTGAAGGAAGGATCCTGGCCTGGGTGTGGGGGAAAGGGCATTTCCATAGGACCAAAGCCCAAAGGTGCAAACCTGCCTGTCCGTGTGGGGCTGCCTGGGAGCTTGACCTTGATCCTGAGTACAGGATCTGTTAGGGCTCTGGCTGGTGGTCGGGGGAGCCTGGCCAGGACAGGGGCTGGGGGCCAACTGGCACTTGGGTAGGCATGGAGAGGGCCCAAATGGCTGTCTTGGAGGAGGGCAAGGGGTGCCAGGTGGAGAGCCTGGAGGAGCAGGTTTTGGGTTGGGGCAGAAAATCGCTCAGCTGGGGGCACAGGGACACTCAGGCTTCAGTCAATTTTCAGAAAAAAGTGAAGTGTCCATCGGAGGTGGCAGTTGTGAGGCCCCTGGTGATCCAGGAAGGACAAGTTCAGTAGGTGAGGCTGGAGCACGTGGGCTGTGAGGAGGTGGGCAGCAGGGGCTGTGCTCCCTAAGAGTCTGGGGTCAGCTGGCAGGGACCCCCGTCCAGGGGAGGTGGGCGGGGACGGGAGGACGAGGCAGGACCAGGGCTTGCAGAGCCTGCTGCAGTCACTACTGTGGTCGAGATACAGAGGAGACTTCATGCCCGGCCCAGGCCCAGCAGAAATCTGCTCCTCAGTCCCTGTTGGGCTTGTAGGGCATCCTCACAGGACATGCTGCCCCCGTGTCATCAGGCATTTTATTCCTGGGTGTGGAGTGGAAGGGGTTGCCTAGAGCTGGCAGTCCTGGGGAGGGACAGGGGAGTACCCTGAAGGGGGGGTCCAACGTGTGCCAGGGCCTGAGGACGAGGGTGGTGGCTGTCAGCATGGAGGGTGGGACATTGGTGGGTTTTCTGTGTGGTCCCCGAGCCCTTGGAGTGAGTGCAGGAGAGGATGAGGAGAGGCCGGCAGAGGCAGGTCCCACACCCTTTGGGTCACAGTGTGACCAGAGCAGCAGGTGGGGGTAGCAGATGGTGTGAGCCTGAGAGGATGGGACAGGCAGGAGCTGCTGAGGGACTGGAAGTAGCAGGGGAGAGGGAGAGGTCACACTTCACTGGGGACAGATGGCTGAGAACGCAGCGAGCAGAGAGGCTGGGGCACGCTGGGGGAGGGGCTCTGAGCCTGGGGTTGGGCCTGGCCCTTTCTTCAAGGTGGAGGGTTGCGGACTGCCTCAGCACCCGCTCTGCCCAGCCACGGTGCCCCGGGTGGCAGGCCGCAGAGTTGCAGCTGTGGGCCGGGAGGGCTCGGGCAGGCATCCCTGTCCCAGAGCAGCTGGGTCCACATCATTTTTGTCTCTGCTCCGTTTCTGACTCTCAGAAGGGGTCGTGTGCTTAGGATGGGCGGTCACTCCAGGAAGTGGTGGTTTCAGTGGCTCCCTCTAAGGGTGCTTGGCAGGACACCCATGGCCCGGGAGCATAGGGAAGCCTGTGGCTGAGGTGCTCAGGGTCCAGGCCCAGCGTGCAAGTGTGTGATGACTTCAGACCCCAGCTACCTCCTCACCCTCAAAGCCAGAACTTAAACATGGCACAGAACAAAAGGAATTTTCCAGTTGCCAACACGCCACGCCTGTCAAAATGGTGTTGTCAGACAGCTCTATGAAGGCAGGTCTGTCCGTCAAGCAGC